CCACATGTTATGTTAAAAGGGGGAGTGAAAAAGAGAAGAAATAGAGAGAAAGGAAAGAGAGTGTTGGGAAGATGTGAACGAGTCAAACTAAGGTTTCTGTGAGAGAATAATTCAGCTATCTACCCACTCTCTTGGAAGAAAAATAATATGAGTTGTTTTGAATGTAGGAGAACTCTCTGAATCAAACAAAACTTTTGGTGTGATATTTCTCTTATCCTTTATGTGAATGCAAGGTTCATAGTCAAAGAAAATGAAAACATTGTACTTCCTCTTCCTACTAGTTAACATTATGCTACCTCACTCCAACAACTTGTAATGTTCATAACACATTCTCATGAACCTCCTCACATCTTAGTTAAGTCATCAGTCCAAGTTATACATGCATTCACACAAGACTCATCACTTTCGTACTTGGTACACCCCATCAAACACTATGTTGTATCATCCAACATGCACCTTGCATATACTACATCTCAAAAATTCATGAATCATTCATGCGAATTTCTCTTTGAACTAGTTGTGCACTTACTCAAGTTGTGTATACTTTTATGTGCACCTACATTATTTTGCATGTGTCATGCCACTCAGCATCATACTACATTGTATCAACCCATGACTCCCTCTCATAAACTTCACTTAGATGCAGTTAAAATAATATCTGGACCCTAGTCTCCTTTCTTACATAGTCATAACCTTAGCATACATTGTTTGCTTCATCATGTGTTGGTCTCAATTTACTTGAACATCACCTTTGTCAAAGCTTTCATTTTATAAAATAATATTATAAATTCATAAATTAACATATATTGAATGTAAAAGGTTCACTTCTAATTGATTAGGCCAATGACTAATGCTCATAAAGAAGATTTTTTGGAGTAATATGATTAGTTGAAACACAAAGATGAAGGGGGTGAATGGAGATTTATATAAGTTTGATGACTTTTTTATTTTAGATGTATTCCCTACACTAGTCTATCTATGTATCAACACACGTGATCTGTTCATCAATAGATGATGTATGTTGACATACATGTGAAAGGTCATTCATAGTGGTAAGACCTCTTAGTACTCTTTCACCAAGAATATAAAATTTTTACATTAGTTCATTCCTCACCTATTTATTTTCAAAGGAAACTACCTTCCAATTTGAACTATTGCTTTCAAAAGAACACAATAATTTTAATAATATTAGTGGCCCAAATCTCTCAAATATGTCTCTTTTGATATTTTTTTCAACTAATCAACCCCTCTTAGATCACATCTTTACCAAAGCCACTATTTCCTCACAATTGAATTACTTTAAGACTTGATATAGAACACCAATTATGATTGTAAAGTTATTTGATCATTGGATCAAGATGATGAAGATGATGTCATAATTTTTTCATTATTGAAGTGTGTGGCATGAAGATGTTGATGGAGAACATTGAACCTTTAACTATCTTCTTGTTATCTTGCTCCATAATTTTTCTTTAGCAAATAGGTTTTTATTATGTGTTAGTTTTTCAGTTTTCTTGGATCTCCAACATTCTAGTTGTTCATTCAAAATCTTAATATTTTTCAAAAGACATTGTTCCCATGATTTTACCCTTCCAATCTTTTATTTTATCTATTTTTACAGTCATTTCAATTCAAATTTGATTTAGAGCTTCCTACTTGATGGGGAATGATTTGATATCTATGTTGACTCCATATCATTAATTTTGATTTCACTTTTTGTCCATATACATATCTGACATGTCATTGTTGCGATAAACTTTATAAATAAATCTTCAATCTATTTTTATTGTCTTGTTAATTTGATACTCATAATAATTTAGAGAACTTAATCTAATATTATGTGAAAATCATATGAAATAGATAAATAGTGCAACACAATGGTTACATTATCATAAATTTAATTTGGATGAGTTATTTCGATTTTGTGAGTGTGTCAACGCATGAATCATTTTTAACATGCAGCAATACATACCATATGATCCTATATGACATATACTTAACTTTTTGTTTGTATATCTTTCTTCAATTGGCATTTTTTTATTCTCAAATGTTCTCAAAGTTAAAAACCTTAAATTGAATTGTTAGAGTTGAAATCATAATAATTAGACAAAAAAGTTAGCATGATTAGTATGTTCAATATATTGAAAATTCAATTCATGTATTTATCAAAAATTATTCTGATCTATTATGAATATAATGTATGAGATGGTGACTTTTCAATGAATTTTCACTTGAAATCATCAAAACTAAAAGCATCAACAAAACTTTCCCATACTTTCTTATTTTTACTCCTTGAGTTAACTCACCTTACCTATGGTGTGAGAGTTTGACATCGCGAGAGATGAGTTCTAAATGTTAACCATCATTTTAATGTGTATTATAATCATCATTGTACTAATATTATACTATCTCACTCTAATAATTTCTAAGGTTTCTTACACTCTCTTGAATCTGTGTCTTAACAGAGTCGTCTGCTCAAATTGTCCCTCACTTTCGTACGTTAGGTCTCAAAAGTTGATGAATTCCTCTCATAAGTCTATCTATGACCGTGTAGTGCCATCTACGCAACACTATACTCTACTCTATCTCACACTGGCACACGTCAGGCTTCCCCGGCGTGGCGTTTCTCATCCGACGCTGGTGAACGATGTGGAGCGGCATGAGCTTTTCTCCTCACCAGACTAATCGTTGGGGCCTGGAGGGCAGAAACCGGCCGGACCCGTTGGGAAATACCGAACATTCAGTCCAAACGAGCGAGGGTGCTGGGTGGGAGGAATAAACCCCGTCTCACTAACGGAAGAGAAAGGAACGAAGAGGACTGAACAGGACCGCCTCCCGATGGAGGGAAGAGAGGAGAGTGGAGACGGAGGGTGGGAGGAGAGGGGCGCTGGTGGGAAGATGATTCGGCGGTCTCTGCTGGAGAGGGCGTCGAGTAGGACGCCCTACTACCGTCCCCCGTCATTAGCGGGAGCTGCGTCCCATCTAGGAAGTCGGCGAGAGGGCATCGACGAACGCAAAGGGGGATGGTTCTCCAAGGCTAAGCACCTCCTGACGCATGCCTCTAGGGTAGTACCGTCCTTTTCCCCCTCGTTCGCCGCCTCTGCGTCCTCCCAGTCATGCTCGGAGGACTCTGCGCGCGCGGACTCTTCCCGCGGTCTTCTCCGTATGTTCTTTTTCCTGATCCCACTGTGTATTCATGTCACGCGCCTTTATCCCTTGCCACTTGCTTCGACTGTCCCTCTTACCTTCGATAATGTCTTTTCTCCTTCGACCCCCCTGCCCCGTCATGCGGAATTGTTCTTTTGCTCCGCCACTGGATATGACGGAGGGTTGTCTTCCATTGATTCGTTTCTTGTTTATTATACGATACAAGAATGAAAGAATTACCGATGTCTGGTGATCATCTTCAGTACCGTCACATGACCGCAACATAATATTTATTGTCCAAGATGTAAAATTCTGTACTTTGTTTTCTCGATTCCTAGGGAGAAGGATACTTCAAGATAGATCAAGGCCTTTTCAGGACACTTGGGAAAATTTTGGTTATCTTGTATTTATGCAATGCGTTCTTCTTGATAGATTTATTCTTACAGAAGAGAGGAAGTTACAATATATCACCAAGCTCTATTTAAAAAATAATATCCTAATGTATTAAGTCTAGTTCATGATCTTTGAGGGTTCCAACAATTTGGCTGGAAATCAAATTTCAGCGATTTGATTTTACGACCAGTGGCAATATGCTACAGCTGAGGGTTCATGGCCTAGTTCTATCCGAAGAAAAGAAAAAAGTTCCTTATGGCCCATATATATTTTTTGATGCATTCTTCTTGATGGATTTCCAGAACCCCCTACAATGTTAAAGAAACCATGGGGAAGTTGGAGTGAGATCCCAACCTTACAAAAATTATTATTGAATTATTGAATTATTGAATTATTATCAATGTCAAGTTATTTAAGGAAATTTATTGCATACGAAATGTGCTAGGATTTCGTGCTACACTGTTATTGTGATAGGGACATTAGCCAAAGATCTACTGTACTTTAGTGTCACTCTGATTTGCACGGTGATCGTGGTCATGAAATTAACAAATGTCTGGATGAAGCTTTCTTTTTATTTTTCTTGTTTCTATTCATCTCTATGGTTTTGAGTTGAAACATTAAATGTCCTTTTTCATATTTTCTTTTCTTTTCCTAATCAGCACGTATTTATGCTCATTATGTAATCATGCTTACTTACTCAAAGAAATTAATGCGAAATCACTCAGATCATGTTCTTTACCTGGCATATTTTGTTTTGCTAAGAAAAGCTTAGGTTTCGTTTTGTTTTTCCGCCAAATGATTAGTTTTAACAAGTTTGTGTATATAACATTATAAACAGAAATTCAGCAAGAGAGCAAAACTGGCATCACAGCAAATGTGTTTAATGTAAGATTTTATTTCATATCCATTTTATCGAAGTATTTTTTTTGTACATTATTTCCTTATAACCGATGCCATGGAACTACATATACTTGAGTGGCTTTCCTTATTTTATTTATGAACCTGTGCTTTCTGTAGGTTTATTTCTTTGTACGACATCTAGAACGTGGTCTACTGCTTATATATTTTTTTCATTTTCATGGCTTGCTATGATGGCAACTCTTTTCCCAATGACTGTTTTATGATGGTTGATCTATAATTTCAGGAAATCTCTGATAATCAGATTATCTGTTGGAGGAAAATCGCGTATTCTTTTAAATTCCATAGTACTGGCGGGTTGTATTAGAAAAGGTTTAGCAGACTAATCCATAACTTAACTGATTGGATTTTTGAAGGTTTATGTAAGAATTAATAATGTTGGAATACTTTATGCCAGGGCCTATGTTGTATAAAAGTTTCAAGTGTCAGAGATCTTCTGCCATAAAGAATGAAAGCATCTCCAAGGTCACAGGGTTGATGAGTGTAGACATGGATAATAGAGAGTGAGGAAATTGTGAAGACTCTGAGTAAGGAGAGCAGGAATGAGATGGGAGAAGGCTCATAAAGAGGAAAGTCCTAAATAATTGGCAAAAGAGGCGAAGGGTATGGACTAGAGAAGTAGAAAAGATCTTCAAGATAAGACGTAAAGGAGGGGATGCTCTAAAAGGACGTGGCTTGAAGGGAAATGTAGTACCCCAAGAGAACACAATTAATTAGTTGAGGAGAGAACTTGATTTGGTTTTGGTGGTATTGCTCTGTATATATATACATGTGTGTGTGTGTGTGTATGTGTGTGTCAAGAGAAAAATGGAAAACTGCACAGGAAGCTTTCTTTTCTCTCTTAACAACCCTGGTGTTGCTGTTGGTTAGGTTACTGTACTAAGGGACAGACCATCTCTTTTATATGGAGCATGTCAGTTAGGGCTCATGAGTCTAGAAATAAGTGAGTAAGCTGGGCCTTATTGTTGGGCAGCTGAATTGTTATGATATGATCGGAAGCGATTGATTTTACTGTTATTTACATCCAATATCCCTATGCATTGCCATATACTTCAGAATGTTTTTTTGTCGTTTAAAGTAAAAATAATAATCTTCTGTGATCGACCAAATAACTTGATGGCATTGATGATTTTCCTTTCATTTCCGGATTATGCAAGAGAATCGAGTTCGGTGTCGTCCAACGTGCACCATTTGGTGATTGACCAAACAAATAGGCCTAGATCTATGGCCCTTAATGAATCGAATGGTCCTTCGATTTCTGTTAATTATAGAATGTCTGGAATATATTATTTTAAGTTTATTGTTAAAAAAAGGAATTTTTTATACAAAAGGATATCAAAACTGTAATGTCTTCCAAAGGGAATTGAATACGTCTATAATGATTGCGTTGGGAACCTTTTTTTTTAGCTATCTCTTCTTGAAAAATAATTTTGGCATGTTATTTGCTCCTGGGAATGCTGAAAGATTTTCATGATTTCGAGTTTACTGTCAATAGAGAGGAATAATAAGGGACTTTTGTTGTTAAGTATGCATATTTCTTCATTGCATGAGTTGATGCATGTGGCTTCTGCGATGTATGGAGACCAGTGTTAGGACCCTGCTATGGGAAGTGGGAAATCCGAAGATAAAGAAACAAGATTTAGATACTGGAGATAACAGAAGAGAAAATCTAACATGAGTCCTGGGCTCTGAAGAACCCTAGAGTTGTGGGAACGTTGGAGAGGCCCCCTGCTCTCCCTCAGCCTCAACCACCTTTGAGTGATCCTCAATAACCCCCCTCCCAATCTCCCCTTCAACCCTAATACCCCTCACGTCCGTACATTGTAAGGACTTTTTTACCTTGTCCCTGTAAGTCCCCTCTTCATTTGAGGTTGGGGCATTTAAGTCTTCTGCCGTCAGGGTGGGCTCAGCTGTTGGCCCCCTCCTCCTGCACCTTGAGTAAGTTGGGCCTACCATGGGCCTAACAACCAGACAAATACTTGAAAGTACTAGTTTGATGTGGAAAGTAAGAAAGATGGAGCTGTTAAATTGCGATAAGTTTGTGCCTTTAAATACTAAGAACACTAATGACATGCAAGTGATAGTGAGATGGTAGCAATTATCTTTTTTCCATTATTTTTCACCTTTTATGGATTGTGTTGGAATTTGTGAGGACTTGGTCAAGTATTATCAACGTAAAAACACATACTACACTCGTATACACATGTACCTGTCTTCATATATGACAAAGAGATATTATAGAAGGTTTGTATCAGTCTCATATATGTCACCTGTGGCCTTACAATGACTAGTGCAAGTGGAAGAAAAATTGTGTGGACTCTAAGGTTGATGTGTGGTGGGATTGAGTTATTCAAGGTACAATGTTGAAGGTTTTTTTTACTCCTTTTTTTCTTTTGCTGGGCTGGGGGGATTGGGGCAAGGGTACCTAGGCCCATATTTTTTCATTAGATGTGTTTTTTGTTCTCGTTTAAACAAGAGGAATTAATAGATAAAGCAGAAAATCTTCTGTTATTTGAAAAATATGATGGGTGATGTGCTTATAGATTCTAATCAAAGAATAAAGGAGGTAGTATATTAGTACGCTTCTCTACATAATTTGCATCTTTAATCTGTTTTGACTTCATTGTACTACCGATTTCTTTCATTGATGGTTTTACAAAATGTATGCTCTTCATAAGGAATTTGAACTATTATGAATATTTTTAATTACACTTTTATATTATACATAGTATGCCTCCATTTTCTTATCTAGGTTCTCTTAGGAACCATCATCTTTTTTTATTTTGAGTTTTATCAGTATGTAAGTGTCCAACTACATGTTTGCATAATGAAATCTTACGTAGAGTATTGATTTTTTTTTTGTGCTGTTTTTTGTCTGCCATAGGGTCACATATCAGGCGGGGATAACCATCAGAGAGGTTTCTGCCAGACAGATAAGCAAGGCGAAGGGAGACTGGAAAACATGAATGATGGAATTGGTTGTGCTGATATTGAGCATCGGTTAAAGCAGAAAACATTTTCCAGGCAAGAATTTTTTGTTGACAGTTTTTTTAGGAATCATTTGCCCGACTCAATGACCTATGCCACTTCTCTGATGATCAATAACTATGTGTGGTTGTGTTTTTTGGAGAAATTATCCGTAATCCCCGTGACATGCTGGGGTACTCATCTGGAATATTTGTCATACTCCAATATGGAGTATCCCATTTGCAGTTGTTTGCAGATAGGATACCCTGATTTTATTCACTCCTATACGGGTCTGGATCGTTCAGTTGACTCTTTTTCTATCAAGACAATAACATATATCAGTTACCTTTATGCGAAGATGAAGTCTTTCGTGTTGCTTTGTCTTTTAGCATGTGCTGATTTCTATACAACTATAGTCTTCCATACTAGAGAGGTTTTTGAGACCATACATGTTGCTTTTGAAGTTGTTTGAAGTCAGTTCTTTACGTCTCCACCATTCACGTTCTTCAGTCATTGTTGATGAAAAAATTGATAATAGTAAAAATATATGACTCCCCCACTCTTTTTTTCTGTGAGCTGTTGGTTGTTACGGTACTTTTCTTGCATATCATTCAGATAGGTGTGAGATTGTATGTGCTATGGATAGATGCATTTTGGCATCAGACCTTATCTGGAAACGCTTATGACAATTCAGGAATGAATCCAACTGGCTCATAGAACTATTACGCTCTAGAACTACCTATGTTGCTGGGGATGATACGTGTGCAGTGAGATTTAAAGCGCATAGTTCCAGTAATGCACGGGAATGGAAAGATATGACGAACTCAGTAGAGGAAAAGCTGCCAATACAGATGAACCCTATATTTCACAGAGAAAGTGTAAGAGAGCATTAACTTTCATCTTATTTTGGTTGCTCACAAATTATAGCATTAATTCTCTGAAATTCTGTCATATATTAAAATTGAATAGGTTTTTGATGAAGTTGGCGTATCACCTGTTGAAATTGCAAAAGCTTTTATGGAGTTCCGCTCATCATCATCATCAGATCAGGGCATCCATGGGAGATTTTTAAAGAATGAAAGAAGCCCATTACGTGGTCGTGGTTCTGCTGCAAACACAGTAACCAGTTCAGATTCTCCTATGTCACAAATATGCTGGCCAGGTGCAGTGTTAAGGTCTGACCAGAGATATTTCACACCCCAGAGTCAAAGAGGCAGATCTGGTCTCAGGAACACGCCTCGAACTCCTTGTCCTGAAGAAATATTTCAAAGTTCTCTTACTAAGGTTCTCAGAGTACATATTTAATTGATCTTGGCGATATGATTTTAAATTACTGGATTTCCTTTCAAGAATGTTAGTTTTGCATGGACAGTTCAGTAGCTCTGATCTGGCATCGCAGGGTACATTTTCCTGAAATATTCAAATTTGCAGTTGCAGGTGCAACATATATCTTGATTTAATAATAGTAAAAATATTGAACTTCAATATGAACTTTATTTCTGGTTTATCTCTCATGTTGATGATAGATGTGAGAGAATTACTCTGATCAACGGAAAATTGGTTCGTTGTGGTGGAGTAAATGGTTGAGCTCCATACTTTTTAAGACAGTAGTTGCATTTTAAGGATAAAATCACTGAATTTTGATTTGTCCATGGAGTCCGAGTATACTATTACTCTGGAAGAACTGTTTCCGAATCACCAAAAAATGCTTTATTATGTTTTGCGTTTGAATTTTCGAGTAGATGATTTGATGTACTCTATGGCCTGAAACTGAAATTTCTTCTAGGCTTATGCCCCATATTTTTAGTGGTTGCTATTAGGAGACTATATTTGATGAAAGAAAATCTCCCATTCATGTGGTGTGTGAGAAATTAATATGACAATTTCCATTGTCTTCGTTGTCAGATTCTATCTGTTCACATATCTGAGCAGGTCAATGATGTTCGTATTACACATGAATGGGCTATTTTCCCTACTTTATACCTCTTTCTAGAATATGAACAGTAGATATTTCACTTTATCCATTTATTCTCTGAAGAACTGGGTTCAGAGATGAGCTGATGTGTGCTCTTTTGTGGTTCTTTTACTTTTCAAGTAATATACGACGGAATTTGTTCAAATGTTACATTTGAATGTTCTGTATTCTGATTTATGACAGGCATTAGGCTAGCATCAATGGCTTGCTGAAATCTGACTAAGAATACTCTATTTTATGACACATTCATCTGTGTAATTTCTGATATTTTCGGTCCACAATTGAGAATTTCAAAAACCTGTGCTAAATTCTGCCATGTTATGTCTTAAATTTCTTTAGTTAGGCAGTCTCTTCCGTTTTGTATACACCATGGCAGCTGCTTCTCTGAAACGTGTATAAATATTGAAATAACGCATTGGTGGGTGACGCATGTATTTAGTTAATTCAAAATTTGCATTCATTAAGTAAAGACGAATCTTTACATACTGTTGATTCGTAGCACTATGCTTGTAGTATGCCCTTATTGCTTTTCTTTCGTGTTTTTGATAGACTACTGACTGAAATTCTGCCTTGTCCATTTAATCCCCCTTCGAATTCATATGAAATTGTGAAGAAAAGGAGCTCTATTCCAGGTGGGGTCCAGGCCAATATTAGTCCCATTCTTGGGCTACAGCGGAAGAGCGTGAAAATGAGTGATTCGAAAGGTGGCGTTCAGAATACGTCTGCAAGTATAATGTCAACGGTATCAGCATGTTGTGATGTTTTCAGCAGTTCTACACTAACGCCTAAAAGGAATTCAGAATCTGGTCTATCAGGTCACCAAGCAACATGTTCAGAAGATGGTTCAACGCATATTGCTGCGATTTTATCAAGGGTTCATCCGAAGTCTAGTGAAGTAGCTAAAACAATATTGGAACACCTGGATAGAACAGATCTTTTGCCTCAGAAGAAATCGTTTGAACCAAAAGTTTTGACGGAAAAGAAAACCCTTTTTGGTCAGTTCGATGGAACAGTTTCTTTGCCTCGGGATAAGTCACTTGAACCAAAGTCACTGATTGAAACAAGGACTCTTTCTCAATCGGATGTGGTTAAAGAACTGAATGACCAGGGTAACAAGGCTGGTCCGTTGTCTCTCAACACTAGCTTACCTGGTGGTGATGTTTTCCAACTGGATATGCAGGTGCCAAAGGTATTATTTATCCCTTTGTTGATTTAGAGAAGTGCAGTCTTATTTCATGAACATGGCACGACGTTAGCGTCACTAATGCCGTGTTCTGTGTAACTTTGCAACTACTTATTTCAAACTGGGCTACTAGTACTTATTAACTTGGTGGCCTTTGATTTCAAACTACATTTTGAACTTTCTTGGAAGATTCCCACTCTAGTGAAATGCTATCAAGTTTCTTGGCAGGCTTGGGAAAAGGACAAATTCAATTAATGTACCAGAAATTAGGATAAAAATTGACAACCAATCGAGATTAAAGTTTTGAAGCATGGACTTAATTAGTTTTTTGCAGCATGCGTTGTAGACTCCTTATTCCATGATTTACTATTTCTACTTATTTTTACGTTATCTCGCGGTTGCTTGATGCATTATTAAAATTGATCAGTGCCTACAGTTACATGAAGTTGGTATGTGGTCAGTAAAGCATTTTTTTGACTGCTGCGTCATGTCAACATGATTTTTTTGTGCTTTATTGATTTCAGATAATGTTCTTTTGGTGTGTGAGGGGGAATTATTGACTGCAACTAACACTCTTTTGATCACAATCAGGCAAACGAAGAAGTTATTCCAAGTTCTGGCACCAGTTTCGTTGACTCTAAGGCACGTCAGGTGCAGAAGTTTCCAAGTTCACCGAGCCAGTTCTCCGGAGGTGGATTTATCTCAGCCACCACGTCTTTTTCGAAAGCTGAGAAAGTTCCAAGTTTCCCGGGTAATGGATTTGGATTTTCTTTTTCTGCTTCATTGGGTTCAAAGGCTAGTGCGTTTCCATCAGCACCGGAAAGCGTTCCGCGCTCTTCAGCTGGTGAAGAAGGGGCAATCCCGTCATTTGGTTTTGGCTGTACTCCTGGGGGCGGGCCAGTCTTTTCTTTTGGCCAGGCGGCAGTCCCCACATACGCCACTCCGAGTTACACGTTTGGGTCCGATGATCGTTCCAGGTTGTCTTTCGGGACGTTGGGCGATGGCACTGTCTGCTATTGATCATTGACCTGGGAGTCTTCTTCTTCTTCTACAGCTCCCCATGACCATTAGTTGGCGTCTGGGTTGGGACGGTCGATCTGTCAAGAGGGGTCTTCCTAATTGAAATCCATGAAGTTTGGCGTCTCTGGTGTGGATGCCTTTTTATCTCGCGTTTCCGCCGTCTGCCGCTGGTGCGCGTCGTGAATGTTGCTGCGCGGAGCGAAGATGAGGGGTTAGGTAGTCGGCCTTTAGTGCGTACAGATTGGCAGTGCTCTGCGTCAGGACGGTGCAATGGAGCCACCGTGAACCGCGTGCTGTGTCTGTGGGAATCTTGAACAGTGAATAAACCTAGGGATGCTGGGATTTCGCGTCACTGTGTCTGTGGTGGGGGTCGGGTGGGCAGAGCGGGGAGTCAACCGTGGGAGGATGCTGACAAGCGACATGGGGGGAAGGCGGCGGGGAGAGAGAGATGTCTGTGGTCCTCTCTCTCCAGGAGGCGAAGGGCACCCGGCCTTACCCACCTACTGCGCCTTCCATCTCTATCGCTCCTGTCTTACAATCTTGGGTGGGGAAGGCCCTCTACTCGACGCGAGGAGGCCGAGTGCCCCACGACGTACTACCAGCTGTGACATGGGCTTTGGGACTCACCGCTTCAGATGCGTGTGATAGGGCATTTTAAAGTTTTTTAGGAGGCTTTAATTAAGTCCGTTGCGTTTTATTAGAATAGTAAAAATATTCGGACAATTTTCTCCGAGGAAATGACAACCGATTAACCTTTATAACATCCTTCACATCTCGAAGACTTTGTGTTTGGGTCCGACGGGAATACCGAGAAGAGTTACTCTCTCTCTCTCTCTCTCTGACATTGAGGGAAAAAAAAGGGATTTCAAAATGGGCTAAGTACGCCAGTCGATGGCGGGGGTGGGGGACTCTGGAGGAGATGATATCACCGCTGTCGGCATGTGAGGAAGTCCCGGCCATCGCTAGCGGACAATCGTGGGAGTCGGAGCACGTCATTACGGACATTGACGCTCGCTTGGACACACTGCGGACGGCGGGATCGGTGTCCTCCGGCGCCCGCAACCGGTTACTACTCCCGCTGACTGTTACTGATCGCAGGGTTGCGCCCCTCTGCATCATATAAACAACTCAAGAATCTCCCTTTTACGTGGAACCGTTTAGATAAGTGCATACGCAAAAGCCGAGGTAGTTCCTCGGAAGGGAGGAAAGCGCGGAGCCAGCTACTTGGGGGTTGGGGATGCGCGAGGAGTAGTCGCTTCATGTCTTATGTTTCCTTGCTATTCAACACCAGCTCCGAGTTTTAAGTAGGGGGACCTATGCGGCTTCCGCCGCTCCAAGTTTAATGCTGGTTTCGTCCCGACACCCGCTGGCCAAATAAACTGTCGTCACGAACAAGACTGGTCGATCTGGCCTCTTCAAGTTGCGGCTGCGTGAGACGTTGACGCATTAAGCTCCACCCGCACGCATGCAGTGACGACTGTCCTATCCTCTGGGGACTTTCCGCACGCCGTAACCATTTGCTTGTTGAACATAGACGGACAGATAGATAACCTTGTTAGACGGCGTGGATTACCGCATCCCCGCAGGCAGCAGATTCTGGGGAAGCTGCCTCGGGGCGCGCAGCGTTGTGGTGAGTAAATGAAGCCGATGTGATGACGCGCCGGCCCTCGAACTCCCCCTGCCCCCTCCCGTTTACTGCCCGGCACCGGTTCGTTCATTCGCCCGAACCTGGACGATCGCCGTGGGTCCCGCAGATTCCGGGGGAAGAAGACCCGGTCAACACAGGCGTGGGGTGGAGAGAACGCAGTATGTAGGCCGCACAATGGGTCGCTGCTTAGCTCCACACCCAATGAGCGTCCGCCCCCCGACGGCGACGATGAAGAGTGCGGATAGCAGGGGGGTCGAGAGGGCTGCAGCCGTGCAGGCTCCTTCTGCGTCAGGGGACCAATGTGAGCGTGCAGAGAAAGAGAAAATTGATAGTCTTGGGCGGTAGCTGTGGGGGCCAAGGTCGCTAGGAAAACTCTACGCCGTCTTCCCCACCCTGCGCCGCGACAAGGAGAGAATTGATAGCCTTAAACGCATGTGCTATCGCTGCTTCAATGGTCATTGAAGGCGGGGGGAGGAACGAGGTGTTCGCCAACTACGCCCTGCCACCATTAATGGCGGGGGGGATGGGAAGGAAGAGGGCGGCTGGCCCACCGCTGGGGCTGTGTGGTGCGGGATCGCCGCCGCCAATCGGCGCACGAGTTTTCTTCTCCGTTTCATTTTCAATGCCAGCCATGATCGTTTAGAATATCCCATGAGAGCTGGCAAGCTGCTCCCCGCGGCAGGAGCTCTTGTTTGGCCGAGAAGAGTCCTCCCCATCCGCCCCCGCCCCCCGGCTAAATGAAATGCAGTGGACGTGTGGGAGCCGCGTCGACCGACCACATTCATCAGGCGGGAGGCCCGCCGGTTGAAGATGGGCCCATCCGTCCGAATCTGTCTGTGACGCGGGGTGGGTCGACGAGACCATCAAGCCCCGCCGCTGTCACTGTGCTCCCGGGGGTCGACCCCTCCGTCGATGGAGGGAGAATAGTTGTGCTGCGTCCCCACCTACCGCCCCAGACGAGCGCGGAGAGCCAAGGAGACGAGAAAAAGACCACGACATCGAACGAGAAACCGGAAGAGCTGACTCACGGCGGCCACAGCGCTGATCCTCGGACACTCGTTCCCGATGAGTCGCCTAACCAGCAGCAGCAGCAGCTCTTGTTTCGTTCTACTCGACCGGAGCCGGCCATTGTATTCTTCCCAACTTACTCGTCACTCTGCCGCAGGTTGCTATCGGCCCCTTTTTACCGTCCCTCTCGCTCGCTTCCCTAGAGCTGCCGACTGGGTCCCCTCTTCTACAGCCGCTGCCTTGTCAACCCTGCTGCTGCCACTCATGTCCCCGCTTTCGCCATAAACGCCGGACCTCCCCACCTCCTCACCTTCCCACCTCCAGAAAATAGAAATAAATAAAGACGAATGATTGAGCTAGCCGACGGTAGAAGTGAGAGAGCCAGGTGGCAGGAACAAAGGGAAGAAGCGAAATCCTGGATATCCCATGCTCCCGCTGGACACAACAGGACGCTAAATCTTTGGTATTGGTCATTTGCCGGCTTGGATCAAAAGAGGATGTGCATCTTCTTGCGAGGCCGGCACTTCCTAGGAAAAACTATGGGGCCGATACTTCAAACGGAGGGACGACAGGGATGCCATGCAGATGGTGAATCGGACGGCAAACCACGGAGGGGCCATCCAGGAATCCTCCGTGCGTCCTACACAAGAAAACGAGATCCTCCGCTCTTGTCTCATCGGCTCGTGAAAACCGTGGAGCCATTGGCGTGACCAATGGCGGCAGAAGGTATTCCTAGGCAGAGGGCAGTCGTGCATATCCACCGCCATGCACAAGACAGATGTCGGGGCAATTACCTCACCTGTTGGCCTAGAAGAAGAAACGATGCACTTGTAAGTGCAGAAGAATTCCCGAAACCACACCGAGGAAAACGATGCACAAATTTCAAGGGAAACAAGCGCCAAAAATCTTGAAAGCCGGACTGAAATGGTGCCACAGAAAGTTTGCAGCGAAGATAGCAGCAGTGACGAAGTTCTTCAGGGTCCATTTAGCTAGATAAAAATCGCCTCGTAATAATACAACATATCAGAAAAATGCATGGGAAGTGACAAACGCCCACAGCACAGCGGTGAACATGAAATTTCTATGAACATAGACTACCAACAAGTGGGTTGAGGGTGAGATCCAATCAGCAAGGCACTAAAGAATGGCGACTTTTTGCCTCGAAGAAATGAGAAAAATACTGGATTAAGAAGCACTAGGCTCACAAATTTACAAAATGCTTGTAAAATTAATGTTCATCAAGGCACAAAAGAGCATCACACAACAAAATTCCCACGATATATCGTACAAGGTTAAAGGATGGGTACCTCGGCAACACTAAGAGCCACGCCTGTCAGATCTGTGGAACAGCCGGCCAGGTGGAGGTCTCTGCTTCAACCGAAAATGACCATAATCAACAGAATCATCATGTAGAGCCCTGCGTCTCCTGTCCAAAGTATCCACATAGAGAGCATCTTCATCCTCAAAGCTCCGCTTGCTGGAGCAGGACTCCAGTGGTTCACCAGGCACCTCAGGAGGGTTAAAAAATAGCCCGTTGTGGTTTTGGGGAGATGAGAACCGACACTCAAAGTTAACGGCTCTAACTTGATTTTGGGGCATCTCGTGGAACTTGCTACCATCAAGGGAACTACTTGATCCCATGTCTTCGATTTCAGGAGCCCAACGGTGGTCCGCACCCGTGGAAGTTGTAGATGGCAGACTCAAGTGTAGTGACAAGTCACATTCCCCATCGGCTATAATCTCAGGTTTATCCCTTAGATTTGACGGTTCATTCTGAGCACTGCGGCCCTTATCACTACCCCGCAAAGTCTTCCCGCCAATCTGCCCGGCAGATGAACCATAGGGAACACCACCAACGGTCATGCCATTGCAGCTTGAGTCCAAGGGCTCTCGAAAGGAAGAACAGGATTCCACGTTCTGATTGGGGGTACCGTAATACAAGGGATACACACGACCACAGCTTACTTGTTCGCAGGAGCCCAACAGGGTTTTGTCCATCTTGTAGAGGGGAGGATCGTCAGTCATAAACTGAAAGCCTGGGCAAGAAATTGGGATGGAGGCTTTCTGATCAGTCGAAGGGACTAGACCAGCAGATCGCATTTCTAGAAAGAAATCACTTGCCACTGCTTGAGGACAGTCTGTGGCCAAGAACCATGATGTGAATTGAGTGTTGGCGGCCTGAAGATTACCAGGGCAAGCAATCATTGAGGGTCGCAGTGAATATGGGACAGGACCCAGCAGGGGTTTATTGCCATCAGTGATATTTTGAGAAGATGCGGAGGTCCTGAGGGATTCTTCTGTGCCGGAGCTCAAGTAACACCTTGGGTTGCTGTGACGTTGACTTCGTGAGGCTCTTCTGGGAATGCAACCCAGAGTAAGCGCCGCTGACCATAGAAATGGGGAAAAAGGTGAACATGGAGAGTAGATGAAAAGATGGAGGGTCCACCGGGCAAGCCATGTGCGCGGACTCAGAGATGGAGCACGAGGGAATGTGCATCTGCCAAAGCAAATACTTCTCGAACAGATGGCGGTTGAGTGATGCTTGGCGAGGGAGAGGTTACCTTCAATACAGGGGAGCAGCAGGTTACCGCTCTCGTTGACGTCGTCTCTGCGGATGATGGTGTCGATGGCATCGTTGGCTCGCTCCCAAAGATTACTCAGGTCCACATATTCATCCTAACCAACATAAGCAAAAATTGAGCAAAATTGACCAGAGAGCGTGGCGGATCGATGCCTCAGGCATTTTTATCCTCTTTAGCACACCTCGGAGCTGGCCTTGGAGTACATGATCTCCTCGGCCTTGAAGACGACGGAGGGAAGCTTCTCCTGCCATTCCTTATTCTTCCGTGTAGCCGGGCTGTGGATCTCGTTTGCTATCCTGAGAGTGGGGCGGAGAGAGATGGAAGGACAATGAGATCATCCCGACGGTCAATGGCAAGATAAATGAATAATGGGCTAGGAGAGCTAGGGAGGAGCCCTCAAAGCCCCAGCCCTCCGACAAAGTTCATGGAGTGATCCCGATCACCATGGAACAAACGAGTAAAAGAAAAATCTAACCATATAAGGAAAAGGGTATCCAGACCAACGCCGAGGCACCCACCTGAAGATCTCGCGAATGAGGGATCCACGGATGGGCTGGTGCCGGTCACTGTGCCAGGCCCTCTTGACGCACTCGTACGGTCTCGGCCCCGGGCGCGGCATCTCCGTACCACGGGAGACTTTCGACGGGAGCGAAACCTCACTATCTCGTCTCCAATCCGGGGGAAGCGCTCCTCAACAGCGGCCAGAGATGAGGAGCTCGTTGACGGCGAGGCCCTAAACCAGAGCGAAGAGAAGGGAGAAAAAGAAAGGGATGACACTGCGGCCCTCTCCTTTACCTCCTCCCTTAGCGAGTTGCCGCCGCCAGGTTTGCCTCGGTTGCTAAAGGAGACCCGGGGGAGGGGCGGGGAGAGAGGAAGAGCAGCGAGGAGGGGAGAAGGTACTATTTTGGATCTGCTTTAGGGGTCGAAGGCCCAAGGGGACTTGTTGGGTTGGGAGGAGGGGGGGGTGGGGGACGGGCTGGCCGACCACATCTGTACGCTCTGAACCGAACAAGCACCCTGACCTCCCTCCTCGCAAACAACGCAGCCGGACGCGGACACGAGATCACCCGGTGGGTCGTAGTCGAGACGGGAACAAGTGGGCGTCGTTTGGATCGGGGCGGAATGCTGGATTTATTCACTTCAGCTTTCTATCAGATATTTCCTTCAAAGATAACTGTACATTAGAACATTCTTAACCCCGAACTAATCGCCGTTGACTAAATTACGTTGGAACATTCTCAACTTCGGCTAAGAGCTTCTTATTACGTTGGAAGTAAACCATTCGGTACATCCACCGTATCGACTCGTAAGGAGATTCTCATCCGCGAGAACATAAGAAGTATCACGACCGTATTTTCAGAAAAAGGGGGCACCCGCAATCATGTCCAGAAGCAGACGAATGACCGCCGGCACTAGTATGCTGCGGAGCCTGTGTAGAGGCTAACGTATGTCATTGTGTGTGTGGGGGTGGGGGGGGGGGATCTACGCATTCAAATCAATGCTTTAAACGGGGATTTCGTCCACAAATTTCATACAAGTGCAAACGATTGCGAGAAAGTGAGGTTGCGCACGTTGAGATGCTACGGTAGAGATGCTCTGCCACTCTTTTGTGCGTGGAACGGCGGTGTTCCAAATCCGAGAGGACCCCCATGATGCCTCACTAGCCCGACACTTGGTCGATGTACAAGGGATGACAAGTAGTCATCATGCTCATATCTGCTCAGATAAAATTTCTGAAGAGCGCCCATTCTGAGAGATGGCACGCCACAATTTAGCGATTATAATAATAAAGTCCCAATGTGTCAATCAACGGCTGTGTACCCCTCAGCTTCTACCGCAGGGCTCTTGGAACCTCACAACCATCTCTACCTTCTCTGCGATTGATGATTGTCAAATGGGTATGCGGATGGCATCTGATTTCATCATGGAATCGTAGCCAACAGACCTTTGTAGGTGGGATCCAAAACTATCTCAATATGGGTTTACTCATCCGCTTACATATGTCACAGATCATTTATGAATAGGATGATCATGCATTAATTTTCAAGTTTTGATGTTTTTTGTTACCCTTTAGAAGATGCTAAATACTTTTTGGTCGTGTTGCAAGTACTGAAAATCAATCCTTCTTACAAAATACTCAACATCGACCTTTGACTCTAGAAGGCTGGAATCACATGGTCCTTAAGTGTTAACTAATTGCATTGCATTAGTTAAAGATTCTAGAGAGTCATGCTGCTAGTCACAAAAATCTTTAGCGGTAATCCTATATTAAATTAATTATATGGTTAGTGGCAAACAATATGTCATCAACATATAAAATCATGAAAATATGTTTATTCCTACGAAACTTATAATATACATAATCATCAATCATATTTATCTCAAAATCAAATCAGATGGTAACTTGATAAAACCTGTGATACTATTGACAATAAGTTTACTTGAGCCCATAGATAGATATCTTTAATTTGCATATCATTTTCTTTAAGTTTTTCTAACATTATTTTTCTATATAAATTAATTTATTTTATATCAATATTGAGAAACACATTCTTTATATTCATTTGACGTAACTTAAGATTTAAATGTACCACTTATGTCATTATTATTCTAAAGTGGCTTTTCATAAAACTGGAGATAAAACCTCTTTATAGTCAACACAGCTTTTATTTGAATAAATCACTTAGCCACGAGATGAATCTTCTCTCTCTCTCCATATTATTCTTTAATTTTATTTTTTTTATTTAAGAATTCATTTACAAGAAATAATCTTTTTAACTTCATAAAATAAGATAAGATCTTAAATATCATTGTATTTAATATATTTAATCTTTTCATTCATGACATCAATCTACTTTTTAATATTATAACATTACATGACTTGATGAAAGTTGATTAGATCATCTTTCATCATTCTGATGTTGATATCATGCTTCTAGAAAAAAATAATATAAATTTATAGAATCACACTTCTCATTTCTCTAGTAGATCTCCTTAATGATAATAGTTATTGAGAATGTTGAGTTTATTTTTTAGAAATGAGAGGTATGAGAAATATTGTTTTCATTCAAAGTTGATTCTTGAATAATTAAAATTAAGATAATTTCATCTTAAGCATTGTTAATAGTAACCCTTAGTTGTGGAATCATAAACAATGTCTGTAATCTTATCTTCTCCTAAAAACTAAACCTCTTTCAAAGAACTATATAATTTTTTCTTCAAAATAGACTTAATTGTGGGATTGCAAAACTTATGACTGCTTTACCTATTGTGATATTTACCAAAATAAAAATTAATAGTTTTGGATCCAAAATCCCTTTCAATGGGCTTTTAAGGTATTGTCTCTGTTAAACAACCTCATGTACAACTACTTTAAATTAGGCTTTTTACATGTATAAACCTAATAAGAGGTTCTAATAAATATTTTAGTTGAAACTTTATGTAGTAAAAAAATGCAATCTTTAATATTTATTCGCACATATTTTTAGTAAAGTTGATTTAATAATTATATTTTTTATCATGTCCCTAAGTGTCTTATTTCATTACTTAGCAACACTATGTATACTTAGGGATCTTAATATGACTTATTGAGGGTTAATACAATATTTTCTATACATTTGTGAAAGTTCATTAATATTGTTCATCGGATATATCATATCTATCATTCTATTCATCACCTCAATCTGTTTTGATGACCTAAATCTTTTTATTTAGTTGATTCTCAACATTTGGTGAGAGCCAACTTGAAAACATTTAATGATTGTCAACTTCTCATGAATAAGATACAAATAGTCATATTAAAAATACCAAGAATAGTTTTGACATATTTAAAAATTCATAGAAAATGACCCATAAATATTTATATGAATTAGTTTTATAATATCAAATACCTAATTAGCACATGATCTGACAATACTTGTTATCTTCCCATTGATATTATTAACACTCATGTCAAAAACTTCATAGTAAAATGAGTTGAGAAGTATTTCAGACATATTTTTCAATTCTCTTTTTAGAAATGTTACCTAACACTCAAGAGTCCATATTGCCTCTACTTCCACTATGCTTTCATTATTTGTATAAATGTGTTATTTACCATGAATTGACTTTTGATAGTGAAGATAATTCTTGATAAACATATTTTTTTGAATAGTAGCACCGATGTCTATCTACCAAGTATGTATTAGAGTAAAAAGGATAAATTAACTCATGAACTAATTAAAGTGAGAAAGTAATCTTTCATTGTATGTAAAGTATGATATTTGATGTAAACGTTATTTCTGTATTCACCATATTTGTAAAAGAAATAAGTATGTTCTTTATATTACTTATTTTCCTATTTATTTAGTAGCGGTCCATCTGCATGTTCAGTCTTTTTGTTTATTATTAACCTTGTCTTTCAAAGTCATAGCCAAAAGAACACTTTTGGATCTCTCTTGTTTCAATCTTTTTTTATCATATACAATGTGAGATGAACTCATTAAGGGACTATTTATTCCTCTCACAATTATAGCTTACCTTAGATTGATTAAATTATGTAGGAAGATAAATTAAAATTAAATGTAAGAGAAAATCTTCAAATATCTCATACTTAAATATATTTTGTTTTGAAACAAGGTGAGACATTAGCAAAATATACTCCCTTAATTTTTCTTTTCATTTTTACCTCATCGAGATCAGAGTTGTCAAGATTGTACTGATGTTGACTTTATCATTCTTAGTTAATATTTTCCCAATTTTCTTTAGGAAAAACTTTGGCTATTATGATCTCTTTGGATATAGTGCCTTTAAATGCTTCTAAAATGACATGTTTCATGATCCAAAAATTAATGCAATTTGATTGATCCTATTTTTTTGCATTTCTTTTTGCCTCATGAGAGTTGGATTATATAATAGTAATATATCGATCAATCCTTAGCGTAAGGTTTATATATATGACATTGAGAACAATTATTACATTCTTCTTCTATGTTTTTAAGTTATTGACATTAAACATAGGAATGAAATTAATGGTAGAAATATTAACAACACAACTTGAAAATTAATAAATAACAACATAATGAACCTTTTATAAATTTCATAGTAAAGTTTATTTTCAAATAATAATATTTCTTCTCACAAGATATTCAACACAACATTAATATTTTATCTTTGGAGAATAATATTAATTGTAATTGATATCTTGGTATGATAGATAAATATTAATAACTTTTGTCAAATAACCAAAAAAATTGTGAACCAACTTATTCTTCACATGACATATCATATAGTTTTCACATATTTAGTATCACAAATGTATATGAAATTTGGTTAGATATTAATTTTCTTGTGCGGCTGGTTAGTGTTCCAATGAATCACATACTCTAGCTTCTTTGGAGTGATGGAATACTCCCGAAATGACTTTAGCCTTATATGACTCTATAGATTAAAATTATTTATTATATCTTAATATCATTTTCTAATTGTGTCCATCATAAAATTAAATTAAGATCCAGTCTCTACGTATAACTACATTTAACCTATACTCCTATGAGATGTCTTAATTTTAAATGTTTAGTTCTCAGTAAATCATTTGATTAAATAGCAATAATAATAATAGCCCCATAATATATAATTCATACATATATGAATGTCATGCCTTATTTCCTATTACATGCTCGCCACCTTCTTTAAAGACCAATGCCCCTCGGAAGTCATTACTTCAAACCCTGAATACGTGGAATTTATGAAGTTAGACGGTGGGAACACGCGGGACAACGCCGTTCTGCACAAACGAGCGCGAAGACAAAGCGAGCAGGCAAACGATCGCGAGTTAGAGAGAGAGAGAGAGAGAGAGCGGGACGGACGATGTCCTCCTCCTCAGGCGTGATCGTCCTCGACAACGGCGGCGGGCTCTGTAAGGCGGGCTTCGGCGGCGATAGGGACCCCGTAGCAGTTGTGCCCAACTGCCTCGGCCGACCCGCCGGCGCCGGCGGTAAACGCTGGATGGTGGCTGATCAACTCCTGGCGCCCGAGGTCGATGTCACCTCTTTGGCCCTTCGCCGTCCCTTCGACCGAGGCTACCTCATTAACACCGACCTCCAGCGGGAGGTTTGGGATCGGGTGCTCCGCGGCCTTCTCCATGCCGACCCTGCCCACACTTCCCTCCTCCTTGTTGAACCTCTCTTCAATATCCCCTCCATACAGCGCGCCACCGACGAGCTTGTCTTCGAGGACTTCGGCTTTCAGTCCTTCTACGTCGCCGACTCTCCCTCACTCGTCCACCTCTACGAGGCCAGCCGCTGCCCAGCCCTTGCCACTGCGCAATGCAGTCTGGTGGTGGACTGCGGCTTCTCCTTTACCCACGCTGCTCCGGTTCTGCAGAATTTCACTCTCAACTATGGGGCGAGGAGGCTGGATCTCGGAGGAAAAGCTCTCACCAACTACCTCAAGGAGCTGGTTTCCTACCGCTCTGTCAACGTGATGGACGAGACCTTCATCATCGATGATGCCAAGGAAAAGCTTTGCTTCGTGTCTTTAGACGTGACCAGGGACCTCCATCTTGCCAGGTAGAACCGCGCCCCCTTAGCTGTATTCCATTTATTTTTCTCTCTTTCGTCCTACGCGCTGGCAGAGTGTATTCTGCTGCACACGTCGATCCATTCACCACCGTCACTTCTCAGATATACATCACCGGCGTCTTGTTGCTTGCCTCTGTGACTGATTCTTTAAATTCCTTATCAGACCACGTCGAAGCGCAATACTACTTCACCTGGACTCATGAGTATGCCAACCTGTGGATAGGTTTAGATTTTTGGTTTTCAGCGAGACAATAATCTCAAATGGCTTCTGCCTTCTTTGCTACGCTAGCCTATGCCCGGAACCCCTTATTCTTATCCTTCAATATTTTTGTGCTTAACGCCGGAAGCGGCGTATATGTCCCAAAAATAGAAGCCTCATGTTTCCAGGTGCATCATCCCAGGGTAGTTGTGCTGGCCATGCGTGCTTCTAGATCTGACTGAAACACAAACTGTTCTCTTGAAGGTTGTCATGCCTTTATCATCATAATCTTCACTCAATACATCTTCCAAAATGCTGCACGTTCTTCCGTGGATACTATATCCGAATGTAAAACCATCTTTAGATGGGGTTACCGGATTTTTTTACACAGATTGACGACCATCAGGTTTGTTAGTATGGATAGATGCTTCAAAGTTATACGCCAGACAGCTGTGAAATGGGGTAAATAGCCATGACTTTTAAGGCACTTGTACGGGAAATTTTAGTTCGAATAGACATGCCAGGCTGCATTCATTCAGTTGTTCACAATAATATTACGGTGTAATGATTGATTGGTGGTCTACTTTACATGTGACATGCAAATTATTAGAATTAACAAAACCTGAATTTCAGTGTCGATTGCTTGAAATTACTGGACAGGGTGTGGTGACTGGAAAGTTCCCAAGCTGGGCTAATAGAATTTTGGAGATGCTCTGAGAAAAGGGGACTCATTGTGTCAAGGTACACGAGGATGACAGTTTTTGAATTTTTGTGGAAGGATTTAATTTGGTCGAATATGTTCCTTATTATAATAAGATCTAACTGTAGAGAATGCCAAGATAAGTTGTCCATCTGTGATAGCGTTTGGGAACTTTAAGACATGTAGAAAACTCCAACTGCCTTTTTGAGTAACAAAGATGGGAACTGTAGTTCATCTCTTTGCAGGAGTCGTCGTGCTATGGGAGCTTCTTTTTTGTAGCATTGATGAGTCGATTTTTACCTGTAAAGTCATTATAATATCAGGAAATTTATCCCTAGTAGCAACATGGGAGATCCCGAGGATTTAGCTCTCTTTCATATGGTTAAGCAAATAAGAATCCTTTTTTTGTTACATTCTTTAGGCTTTTCTTTTTTGGTTCCGTCTAGGTTCTGGTTAGATCAGTAGTAGTCTGCTGTTTTGACTTCTGTTGTGTCTTGTGATTCATTTAATTGGCGCATTTTCTTCCCAAGTTTCTTTTATTCTAGTGTTTTCATAAATAGTTGATTCCATCATCCTAAAAAATGTTCAGTGATTGTCATCTGAGTTGAAACTATGCTTGAGAATTTGAATTTCACTTGATATCTACCATGCTTAATAAATTTGAGAATCAAACTTTATTGGTAACATATGACATCGAGATAAAGAATTTGGTTCCTCAATTGTAAACCTTGTTGTAAAAAGAGCTCTGGTTCATTGATTCAAAGTGTGGGATCAGATACTCGGCCATTTAGGGCCAGATATTTTTTCTTACCGGTATATTTCATCATAACCTTTTAATATTTGTCATTTCCTAGATATTTTTGCATAACCTTCTTCCTAGTTGGCCATATCAAGAATGGTTACTATCATTTATTTCATGTCCAATAGGAGGTCAGGTAAAGACAATCCATTCAAATGCACATACGTCTTGCCTGATGGAATTACATGCACAAAGGGTTTTGTAAAAGACAAGGATGAAGCATGGAGATTCCTTTCTTCCCGAGATGTGCAGTCACTGCCACTGGCTGCTACAAGGGAAGGAACCGCGCATTTGGAAGATACAGAGAAAGCTAAGGATAGGAGAATCGATTTGACAAAAAACGTAACTATCATAAAGTGCCTTTGCGCCTCTCCGTTTCAGGAATTCTCCATATGAAACATTTTTCTTTCTTGCAGGAGTTTAACATGACAAATGAGCGCTTCCTTGTGCCAGAGATGATTTTCCGTCCCGCTGATCTGGGTTTGTTTAGTATTCATTTCAGATGGGATATTCCTTAGGCCTTTTGACTATCTATTTCTTGATGATTTCCTATGTTAACGTTTTGTTATTGATGATTTACTATATTGTATTTATTGTATCTACTCGAATATATGTGGAATCGTGAGGCGGCAGTTATCTCTCTTGATGGACAGAATACGCTCAGACAGTTATATCTTCCTATTTCGAGATTTCATCTTTGATGCATGTTCACTGTAACACACTTGGGGTTGATAGGCATGCACAGCAGTTGTTTTCCTGGGCCTCTTTTCTTGTCGATAGATTGTGCTCCAAACATGAAGCGGAGATGGTGCTAGGGATATTCAGATTTTGCATAAACAAGATAGTTGCTTATATATCATTCTGGGCTTGTAAAAGACGACGAGTCGTCTGTCTACTTTTCTGGGCGTCTTGTCCTGATGATTAGTTGTCTGAATTTGGTAAAATGATTGTTTCGACATGATATTAAGTGCAGTTAATGGAATGGCAACGGCACTCTTGCAGGAATGAATGAGGCAGGACTCGCTGAGTGCGTTGTTAGGGCTGTCCATGCATGCCACCCTCACCTTCATCCTGTACTCTTTGAGAGGTAGTCTTGCAATTTCTTTAGTTGTCACATGATTTGCTAATGGTTCTTTTTGCGAGTTTTCCTTATCTTGGAAGATGCCATCATTTTTTTTTTTCTAAAATAGGATTTTCTGTCTGCAGTATTATATTGACTGGCGGGAGTACCTTGTTTCCTCAATTCGCAGAAAGACTGTAAGTCTCCCTACCCATCTTGGTTGCGGGGGGTGGTGGGGGGGAGGGGAGGGAGCAGTTGCGCAGAAATTAATCGATGATTTCGTCTTCTACTTTTCAGACAACAGGAGCTTCGGCCACTTATACGTGATGACTACCGTCTGAAGATAATAACTCAAGAGGAGTATGAATATGTGTTGCTGATTCTTGCTTCTCTTTAAATTGGTTTTTGACCCTTAGTTACTATTTGGTTATCCCCAGTCCCATTCTAGGTGTGTGGCGAGGTGGATCCCTTCTTGCTTCTAGTCCTGATTTTGAAGAAATGTGCGTCACCAAGCTAGAGTATGAAGAGTTTGGATCTGCTCGATGTCGGCGGCGGTTTTTCCACTGAAGGCCTGGTAAGGGACGTACTATTAGGCCCTTCAGAATTGGGCCTTAAGGACGTGGACGTGTATTGAAGCAGAGGAAAGGTGCATAATGAATTGGAGACGTAGCTCGCGATTTTCTCTGAGATACGCAGGAGCTTTGGAGAGTTGATGAGACACGTTTTGTGAGAGTGTTGCCTGATGAGGGCCTAATCAGGCAATCACGTGTATGGATGGGTAGCTCCTGTACACCAGCCCTTCATAGCCAAGGGGCACATGTGTTGGGCTGTATGAGAGACTCAGGACATTAATTATTTTGTTGCTCTGACAGGAATAATGACTCTCCAGTAGTTTTCCTGTCGCTAATTAGAGAAGATTACGCATATGAATGTGGAGTGGCCGTGCAATAGTGGTCACTGAACTCTCAAGATTCTCCTGACGGCCCGGAGGTAGCGGGACTTTCGTCAAAATTACATGAACTTGATACGATTGCTTGGAAAATACTTGGACGATTTGATTGACGTTTTCACCTGGCACGGCGACACATCATCGCGCCCAATCCAGCTTGGCCACTATGGCTTTTGGTGCTCTCCACTTCGTTATTCATCATAACCTGGATTTAGCTAGACATTAACGCGAACATGCAATCCAGTCTCTTGTTAGGCACACTCAAGGTTCATGTACAGAATCAAGTTAGGTAAAATCACCTTGAACGTCACAGATTCGCGTTCGTGGTTAACCTATTGTGACCAGTTGTGTCAACTGCTCAGTATGAAGCCCTGCAGCACCCTACAATCCAAAACATTTACAGCATATACTTTGGGTTCAGGACAGTGTGCGACTCGTAACCAACCGACCTTGACTCCGTATAGGCAATCGGGAAACCATATCAGGGTAGTGATCCGGTTACTACAAAGCCTATGCTCTATGGACCTGCAGAGCAAGCTGTGCACATGGGGGTTGGGACGTGGATTCCTAATTTGCTAGTTGAGTCAAGGGAATACTCACGTGACACTTTGAACTTCTCGCAACGTCAACAACCAACGAAAAAACTGCTTGTGGCTATGAAGCGAGCCACAGTATTAAATCCCAATTGCAGCATTGAAAATCTCCAACCCAATACAGTTGATGACAAACATTTGTTGCTTCAATCAAAAGACGGGACCATATCCATACAAAGATGCACCAGTTTCCGCTGATACTGTCCATAATACTCACTGACAGCAATGACATCTTGCTCATCCTCCATGCAGGGTAAGATGATTTTTTTCTTGTCCTCGTTCTGGTATTCTGGTGTCATATCTAGATGTCCCGAATTCAAGGCAATTTCTTGGTGTATCTCATGACAAGCAAGTAAAAACAGAGCAGCCGCATCTGGCTGCTGGGAATCTCGAAGTGCTGCTAATGCCTCGCGCATTGCCCCGGCAGCAACATACAGGATCAACGCCCTGCAATGAATGTTTATGGCGTTACTACGATAGAAGCAATCACGTCTACTATTTCCACCCCAGGAACACCAAAGAAGACATTACCTCCAAATGTTATGCTCATTGCAAAGGATATGGTTTGCCCATCTCTGCAACACTCTGCATGAGCGAAAAAATTGTCTAAAGATTTTTTTTTTTTGGATGCAAACAATGGCTAAAGTACACAAGGAACTATGCATTATGGAATTCCTGTAAAATAAGCAAACACAGTGTCCCGGATAAGGACTACATGCTTTACTTTGTAGGTTTCTTTGAATTTTCTCCATTTAGATTAGTTTTATACACAATCATCTGGAAAATGCATTTTGCATACAAATCTTTCAACGGGAATTTTCTCTGGTCATACTGTTGCCCAAAATAATCTGCAAGCTCTCCCAATTATTTGATCGTTCAATCATAACCAGGAGCACTAGTTTGGTGGCACCATTCCTTTTTTACATAGCGTTTCGTAGAAGTATCAGGTAAGCGTCACCCTCTCCCCAACATATCCCTGTAACTCTATATCTTTAATATTCTTCTTTCAAGTCCTAACTTTTAAAGTCCAATTTCTTAATGCATGTCTTGTACGTGTTCAATGTGAATTACTCATCAACAGTAGTTCTATATTACTAACTACAAAAGTAAACCTGTGATTATGAAGATAGCTTACCCCAATGATTGCCAATTAATTTTGAGCTAGATACAAAGTTTAACATGGGGATTTTAACTGATGATTGTTCTTGGATTTCACACACCATTTGTATTGTCTAGGTAACTAAGCCCAAATGCTGATTAGTGTCGTTTGAGCTCCCTGGTTCTGGACCTTCGGAAGAGTTTCTCAGTGGCGCCACTATGAAAATAATATGGCAATTAATTTAAATGTGGGACACTAACTTTGAAGGGAGGTTTCTTTCCTGGATGAGTGCTTCTATTAACTGCCCTCTATTTTGATAGGGGAAGCCTCTCAATGTCTCCCTTCACTGCTCCTCAATAGACAATAAAGCCACTACTCTTATAACAGGATGTTTCTCTAGCCCGGACGATAGTCCAGATGTACTCACACACTTTTTTTTCACCAAAACCCAAGCATCTTTAGACGTAAGATCATTAAGATATTGCCCACGTGTTTTGAGTTGGATAGTTCAGTAACTCTAATAAAGATTCTCTAACAACCAATGCATTATCCTACATGAAGTGATTTTGTACATCTAAGGCGGAATAATTATAATTGAACAAACAAGTACCCTAGCTGAGAATAGCAGGAAGGACCTGTCATAATCAGATCCATGCAAATGGGTTGCAGCCATTGTCGCAGCATCTGTCCAGAATCCAGCATCTTGTAGCTGCAGTGAAATAAATCATCATCGAATGCCATTAAATCAACCTACAGCTGTTGAAATGCATTATATGAGTTCACTTCGCAAGTCCAAAGAAGAAAGTGTTGGAATACGCTGAATATGGACAAGTACGTGACACTGATCCCAGGTACGTGGCACGACGACTGTTTCACATGCATAACAATGGGTAGACAATGGTGGATACAGAAACTAGCACAGAATGCAAACCCCACAATACAGTAGGAGTTTAAACTTTAGTTGATGCAACCTTTTTCGTCCAGGAACCAACACAGGTAACTCAGACATCAGAAAGGGTCTAAATCGAAGGGCTGAAACGTTTGCTCGATATATAGATACATAATCTTTGAGGGGGCAGGATTTCCCCGAGGTTGTGGCTTATTTCAATCCCCGATTCAGAGTAGAAACCACAGAGAGATATAGTAAGCCTTTTTAGAGAAAATCTATTATTTAAAATCTTTAACTGATAAAGTCATATGAGTTGATTCAAATTGGTCTGACTAGCGACTTTGTGAGTTCCACTATGATACTGCATTAATCAACCTTGATCTCAGGAAATAAAAAATTTCTAAGGTTATATCTAAAAGTTCACTCAATCGAAATAAAGTTCAATGATGATAAATGAAGAACTACATACGAATATTCAGAGTAAACTGTGCATTGACCAACTGCATCAAAGAATCAGCTAGGCCTGGACACAGTAAGAGATACCTGATTCCAATTAGGTAATTGATACAATCCGACCGCGCATATATCAGCGTAGACAGGAAAGACAGGGATGCCCTCAGTAAATCAGTGAGTCAGAAAAGAAAATAGGTAATCTCAAGGAGGATATTAGGGCACGCAAAGGACAGACAAAAGGTAGGAAAAATCCGACGAGTTTCTGGGCGAGAAGGGCTCTCGTAGCAGGCGCTAGGGTTCTACGGGACCTGGTGATTGAAACTCAGCGACTTGTACCTCCTGGGTTTCTCTGTCTATTGTTCCCAGAACTGTATCAGTAGTTTCCATTGAAGCTAGTTCCCATTACCAGAAGAAAGGACTCTAAAATGAAATGCCAAACTAATCCTTGTCATTTCTTTTTTATATTTTTAGTAAACATAGGGTCGGGTGGAGAGAGATGACTGGTAATACATAAGTGACGACTGTCTTAAATGGATTGAAGAGAGAAAAGGAGAAGACGAAACCTGGGAACAAGCTTCTTGATATCTTCCGACAGCACAAAGAAGGTGAGTTCCAGACAATGATTTGTCAGTTCTCACCATATTGGCAGCAACAACCTACATTAAAAAGGAAAATATCTTTCAGCTTTTCAGCAGAGAAGAATGGGTCAATAAGAAGCATGTAAGAACTGAGACTTACCTTCACAGCTAATTCATGTAAAGACCTTGACACGGCAGAAGATAATGCTACTGCACGCAGAGCATTTGGATAGAAGTAAGTCCCTTCAGGAGGTGTAGAGAGCAATAACGTCACTGCAGCTTCCAAGTTTCCAATGGAAACAAGTCTGAAATTCAAATGGTCAAAAATTTACAACACAGATAAGACGTTTTCACCATCCAATAAAACTTCACGATCCTTCAGAATGCCAAGTAATTATCAGTTGAGAAATCATAAATGTAAAATTTATAGCACAGTGGAGCCTTTTACGGTATTGACATCATCAATCCATTCACAGCCTTTATATCAGCATGTTACAACCATATTTATATGGTTTTATACATACGTGGAGGTGAAACTAGCAAACTGCAGCTGAGATCGTTTCATTGCAAAAATAGAAAGACAGCATCATCAGCAAAAGGACGCGCTGTATTACCGTGTGAAAGATCCGTGTGAAAGAACTGATGACAGAACGGTGGAATGAAAACACAAACAACGTAAATGAAAAATATTCAGAATAACTGAACTGATGACGTAGTAGTCTTTACAAAGTCCAAGGGATCATGGATGTTGCTTAAGCTACAGCATTCTTGATATTTTTATTCTTAGTATGATTACTCACGGAGGCAGTTTAATCCAATAAACAGCTTTTCTTACCTGTTTTTTTTGTTGCAAATCTCTCATTCAGTTTTTCCTTTATTTTATGGGCACATTTCTCCATTTGGTATATTAAACTACTCTATTGCCAACTAGCTTTTTCGGGGAATTCGTCATTCGCCAACCTATTGATTACACCATAAATTCACTGCATTGCAAGGCTAAAAACTGACATTACAACCATAACATATGCTAGAACTGTTGCGAGGAATTTCTTACTCATGAACACGATTTTGTATTGCATCTTCTCCATCTAATCTGTCATGCCAAGGAATCCGTTCTTTCGCACTTGACCATAATTCATCTCTCTCAAAAGCCATTAAAGTAAGCGGCCCATATTTCTGTTAACAAATACATCCTCAATGAGCAAAAACAGTAGATGGAGATCAACGTGAAACACAAAATAAAAGGACCAACGATTTAATACGGAAACAATAAATAAAAAGATATTAGGATCAAAAACTCTTTCTGTGAAAGTTTCACGAGTATATGAAGATAGTTAACAGCCATTGTGAACTTTAGTAAGATCACCTTTTCAACATTCATCCTGCTGCCTAAATCTGGCTTCTCTGTGGATGTTTTCTGGTTCGAAGTAGAAAACGTTTCAGCACCCGAGATTGCTGTTGCTGAAGAACTTTGATGAGCAGAGTTTCGTGATGATTTATTGATTAAGTAGTAAAGAGCTTTAGGAAGCTGTAACCAGAAAAGTGCTTCTGAAAACTCGCCAAACATTGCAGCAGCAAAGGCAAACCTAGTTGCAGAGCTCTTATTTACTATAGATGCATACAATCTAGCTCTCTCAGTGTCAAGTAGACAACCTTCAATTCATAAGAAAATTAAATAAGCGTTTATGAATAATTCATCAAAATCCATGGAGCAGAAAAAATGATTAAGAAACACCAACTAATACGCAACACAGATGATATACCTTCTACACGGTAGGGTTCTAAGATTTTCAGAAGTAATTCCGGCACTACAGGGTCACCAACCGCTGGAAGAGTCGACTCAATCATATAACTGCGAAGATCTCCGGCATCTCTACTTGGACTGTATGAATTGAACCAAGATGGTTTTACACCTAACTGCAGGATCATTCGCAATGCCTGCAGTGGAAGGTAGAAAACCGAATATGTTAGAAAGCTTGGTTACAATGACAAGTTATACTATCCATCAAAATTGGCAATGACAAGTTGCTGAAAGATTCCACCCTTGCAAAAATAAATTGATAAACATTTATACTCATTGTAGCAGAACAATAGTATGACCAATGCATAGTTTCGAATACATGCATGTAATGAAAAGCGAACCAAATTACCAGGGCGTGTGGCGTAGGAAATAGTATAGGTAGAGATAAAGGTACAGGTCGAAATCTCTCCTTGAGAACTTTCGGCTGGGGTCGCATCTTTGTCCTTGCATAATTTCTTCAAAACAGAATAAGGAAAAGTAACTACTAGATATTCGAACGAATACCGTTAGAGTCTGTGATATGTTCGTTACCCACCATTCTATGTTTTAATAGAAGCTCAAATGAATACAAAAATAGAAAAAGAAATGCATAGACTAGCTAAAAATTCATATATTCTGTAGTAGAATTCTGATGTCCTCACCGTAACACTTCAAATTTAAACCTAGTTCACCAAGTGGTAGAAATTCAAACGTTTTTGGGTGAGGGTTGAAAGAATCAGAAGCTTAAGTCTGATAAACATAAAGTTAAGCCGTTAAAAGATTATTGTCAAGGCACGTTTTGAGCAGTTTTTGCGACCATGTTACTACTATTTTCAAAATAATAGGCAAAACACAAAGAAGCCAGACTTATCTGTAATTCTCTAAGGATTGACTGGTAGGATGTGTGGGAAAAACGTGTAATTAGGAGATAGTTTCTGTTGGCCACTTTCCAAGTCGGGCAGTTTCCTAGTTTGTCAGGTTCCAACTTTTGTGGCCAGGGTTAACGTATATAACTAGAGAATTTTCTATGATTCGATCAGGAGAAGAGATTTTTCCCGACTGTTTATCCTTGTAGGGTTTGCATCATATATTAGAACCAAGTCCCAATATTTGTCTGAACCCACGCAATTCAGCTATTGTGTACTGTCGTCCTCCAAAGAATTCAAGGAGTCGAGTGAGAGAGGGAGAAAAAAGGCAACAAAAGGAAAGACATCAGTGATAGGAAGATGAAGATGCCTTCTCTTGAAGGGGAAAATACTACGTATTCATTAGAGAGCAAAAGGAAAAGGAAAACTAATTTATGTATCCTCAGGTCTCTCAAAAGACCGATGTACACCAGTGATGTCTACCCCAACATTGTGTGGTTCTACTAGTAACACGAGCAACCCAAAATGACAGATTCACGTGTTTTTTCATGACAATTCAATCCTCATGCCTGCACTTATAAAATATTGTTGGAGATAAAATCAGGTTTGGTGCGTTGAATAGTGACGCCAGAGCCCATAGAGAAAAGTATTCTCTTATTCAAAATGAACACACCAAAATTACATTTCAAAGAGAGTGGGGTCTGTTATTTATAACAGACCTTGGAAGGTTCTAGACACAGTCACATAACTCGGAATATACTAGAGACATCCCATCAACAAATATAACATCTCATTAACTTAAGTACTATTCGAATCGAAAAGTACTATCCACACGTATTCTTGAAATTCTCCATTAATTCCATTAATTGTCATGCCTTGAAATTTGACCTAATATTTTAAAGCTTTAGAAAGACCCAGTTTTCTAGGTCAAACCATTCATATTCCAGACACCAAAATGATCACAAAGAAGCGCACGAAAGCACACCGAGCAGTGAACATCCATATCCAGGATCAGCTTGTACACAGTTAACTTTTCAATGGAAAGGTGCATTGGTCCTCAACTGGTTAACTAGATGAGAGAACCTGGTGTTAAACAAAACTTTGAAGGACATCTAAATTATGTCAAATATCACAGAGAAAAACAATGATCAAAATAATTTCGTCCATAAGATATATATATGATTCCAGCGTGATATAAATTTCTGTCAATAGAAAGCTCTCATCATTGGTCAGAAAGAAAAATTTCTCATTGTTGGAATGAAGAGAGAAAACTAATAAATGGATAGAATGCATTTGTTAGAGGTCCATCATTGAACTTCTCCAAGCTACATGCTTATAAATAACGCAAAAAAACTTAAAATTAAAAGGTAAGCGTACATATTGACTTCAATAAGACGAAAACTACTGTCAGCCCCAGTAATGCATAAAACGAATGGTTCATTTTTGTGGGTTCGTGTCGGCAACCAATCAAGTTCCAGAACAAGGGTGCCCGGGAACTGAGGCTGTAACAGGGCATTGGCCAATGGATCCTGTGTATCCTGCACATTAGAATATTAAGAAAAGACTCAAGATCAATAAAAGAAGACAGCCTGCATATGGCATGTGATATAATTACAGCTGCATTGAAAGAATTTAACAAGAGGTGATTGAAAATTCCAACAGCACATAATTGCGCCCCAAAAACTCGAAATCAGTGTTTTCTAGACAACCTCAGTAGCATCAGGTGGATCTTCAGAAACAATAATTTAAATGATGGATCAGAACGCATCAATGATTTTATATTTATAAGCTTTCCCTTCCGCTTTATACTGACCAGGTCATATACTGAGAATGTGTTGTCGTTGAACAGCACAGCTACTCGTCCTCTGCTACGATCCCCAGTGACAACAGGTGAGAACTTTATTCTTCTTATTCCTTCTCTATAAGTGTTAAATGATGATGAGAGACCAGTTGTTACGTCCCACCAACGAATGTTGCCAGATCTGTCTCCCATAACCTGCAGACGACACACAATAAAGGAGAAACACCCAAAAAACTTTGAGAAAAACTATCCACTGAAAAGAGCCAATTGGTGATCTTGAACTTACTACATGTGGAAGGCGATATGCCATTGCAGTGACCAGTCCATCTGTTGAAACAAATGATGATGAAGGCCACTTTGGTCTACAACATAGACAATGATCAAGCGAAAAAATAGAAGTCAATGTCAAGGAAGATGCAAAGTCCAATGCTAGATAAAAATATAGACCATGAAGTTTCTAATCTGTAATCCGCAAATCAATAATTATGTGAATGCCAGACATAAGAAGAACAGTGCCGAACCTCGACAACAGCTAGCCACGCACATTTTCAAACAAAGTTACCAGACTCACGGACCAATTGACACGTGCATATCAATTTGACTAACGACCTCCTGTTATAGAGTTCATATGGCCATGCTTATTGACTTCGCAGGTGTTTCCTTCGGCCGTGTGGCAAGAAAGGTCGATGGAGGGCAAACATCGTGGTTTACTGGTCACTAATCGGAAAAATATTCTATGCCACTTTCAACAAGATCAATGTGGAACATCAATGTGAGATGATCCTATTAATTTGGTCTATTTCACACCCATCATAGTAATCTGCATATGTCTGACGTATTATGAGAACCAACAGACTCGGGTCACCAGGCAAGAGGTCAAATACGACTGACCTAAGTTGCTCAAAGAAGGAGCTAGATGAAAAATGTTTAAGAATATTAATTGCTGAAAATTGAATTCGCCTTCTTGACTTCATAAGATAGGATTCATGCATGTTTACAAGTTGAAAAGGGACTCGAGAATGATTTTTCTCCGTGAAGCAAATGGCCACTTTGGAAGACTTGTGTGTGGGATCTTAGACCCACTTGAGCAACCTCAATCTTCTGTATAACAGGGACCACTTTCATTGCAACAACAAATTTCTTGGCCACAGTTCACTCGAAGGGTTATAGTGCCCAATACTTGAAAAGAAAATCGTGGTGGACGGGATTAGAGAACCGAAAGAAATTCTTGGCCTACCAGCAGAACGTTCAATGACACTGAAAGTCAAGACACCAAGCTGACCAAGGAATCAGACACTATGAAAGATTGATGGAAATACAAAAAAAGGAAAAAAAACCTAATCTAGGAACCGGACACCATGGGGCACATCAAATCAGGAGATTGTCATCTGCATGATAATTGAACATCCCCCTGCAAAGAATATAACAATAACATCTTCTCACCTGTGGCAAAACAGTTAATCGTTTTAACGAGATAAACACTTCTTCAGAGCTGTATGAAAAGAATGACGCGATCACCTTTTCCTTGGAGTTTTTTAAATGGCATCCCTGACAGAAACTATTCTACACAATGATAAGTTGGTATCTTACGGTACTATTGAAGGAGTTATGGAGAGGTTGAGGATGGCATTTGGTGCTCAGAAGGTCGAAAATTCGTAGACAACTGCAAAGCATGGCGGTTCATCCTCCATGCAATCCTTTGAGGGATTATAATAAGTGAAGCAATTGCTTATTCAAGTGTGAAAGCATGAAAATATGGGATAAATAGGCCCTATCATGTCAGGAACTACCATTATACATCATAGTTGTGTAGACTACTACCGACATATGTGCTTGTACAGGTTGAGTTCTAAATGCATACTTATGAATCCTTTTATTTATCTTTGCCGTGAATGGCTACAAGGTACAACCAAATCTGAGAAAGAAATGCGAAACAAGTAAACAAATTCTAGAACAGACCAATGAACAATATCAACAAAATACTGCAGTTCAAAGTAAGAAGGAGAAATAAATACCTGAAATCATGTATTCTTCTCCCGTGAACCTCAAACACACCGAGAGCTCCATTTGCCAGTGCGAATGCGAAACTTTCAGATGTGTCATCTGTGGGAGAAGAGGTTGTTCCTTCTATAAACATAACAGTCAATGGGCATACATCAGAGGAACACATGAAGAATCAGGTTGAAACACAAAAAATGTACCATAAATTATTAATCAGCATGAATAAACTGTGCCCTCAATACTTTTTAAAGCAGATGCGTTCTGCACTGTATCTGCAACCGACAGCTGATCTCCTGAGAAAGATGCGGTATGCATAGAAGTTCCATTCTGACTAGGACGAGGTGCACTTGGAAGTGTCCATTCCATTACTGTAAAAGGTAGAGCTAACGATCTAAGCTGCAAGAGCATATATATTCAAATAAACCCTTTGGGAATGATACAATATGCAAATTTCAATGTTTCTACGCCTGAAACTTTTAGCAAGATAAAAGAAAAGGTAAAGCCCAACCGATAAATGAAAATTGTATCATTTCCACGTACTAGAGCAATAAATAAAACAGGGTGAAGAATCTAGTTAGCTGCTCGTCATCTTATAATATGTTATGCCTCCTTTTCAAGGTAATCAACTAAGATAAAGAAATAGTGAAAATGTAGTTCACCTTCGTCATCTATATCAACATGATACTGAGAAATGTATATTATTATCTTCATTAATACGTCACTAAGGTGACAATGGGAGCGTGACGACAATAACAAATTTCCTATAAAACATTAATGACCACAGGTTACACAAAGAACCAGGTTAGACAGACCGGGCGTTTTACCATTATCGGATTTTTTGTCATCATCCACACCTCAACTGGAGCATCACGAAACAGAATAAGAAGATACCTGAAATTCAAAGAAGCCAAACTGTAAAAACCTGAAACAAACTTAAAGCATTGATGCAAATACTGATTTCCTCTTCGAACATAGTAAAATTGACATTTCTGCCGACGATTCTGTTTTCCTTTTTATAGTTGTTTCTGTGCAATCTACATGCGTAGGATCTCCATTCTCGACAAGAAAAGGAGGATATTTCTTATCAGATATAACCGTAACAATGATGACTCATTGCATCTTTGAGATGCTTTCACAAAACAGGTAGAGCATCATCAAAAATGATGACTCATTGCATCATTGCACACCGTAACTGAACGTTGGATAAATATTTGATGAACACCCGGATGTATTAAGGGGATGACAACCGCACATGGTGGCCGAAATGTGGTCTTGAATATGGAAGAAACAAGAAATATGGCGCACAGCAGAAAATCCCGCACTTTAATGAAGAGGAAACGTTTTAGAGTTTCCAAACTACACGAACAAATGACAAGGAGCACAAGGTTGTTAGAGTTTTCAGGCCACACTAACCAGTTATTTGTGATAGGAAAATTGGCACATGCTTAAAACTCAGGACGCATGATAACCAAACTATCTAAGTGAAATGCAGCTCAATCTGGGGCCCAATCATAAAAAAAAAAATCAAGGTTAGGACCCGCCGTAACTATAACTTGCTAATGTTTGATGGCTTAGAAAAGTGTAGTCTTACAAGCGTTGCAAGAGAACACCCCATCGTTCAAGATAAAAGTAGAAATAATCATCTGAACACTACACAAAACTGAGGAAAACATGAGATAAAAGAAATCACCTTCCGGATGAAGAAGCCCTCAGAGCTCTAACTGGGGCACGTTCTGGCTTTTGTAGGACACGGAAAGGGCGATTGAGGCCAGTTCTAACACAAGTCACGACAAGCTTATTTGTAAACCCACCTCCTTTGTCATTGGCCTAAATGAAGTAAAAGATTATTAGACTCGATTACACAGAACGATGAAGGAATGTCATTGAAATTCTTAAGAACTGTTACAAGCTGAGTATTGCTAATATAAAGAAAATTACTTAAAGAAAGTATAAACAATCAGATAGTCATTCTCCTGCAGTTAAGAAGGTTGCATATCTCTGTAAGTAATCATTGATTTCCTCCCAATCGAAGTGAGCTTAAAATGCTCTTGCGGATTTTGACATAGCTGACACAAGACCTAATTTCCAATTTTAGATCCATATTTTTGAAATCCAGACAGATAACAAAGAGTCACTCATTGCAATAAAGTAACCTATTGTGAACTTGACGTAAAGAATGAACCAGTCAAAAAGACCATCTAAAAACTCGGGTTCTGTATCATACGAACTCCCTATAAGGGACAATAAACAAAAAAAGCACAAAACTAGAGAAAGAGATCGAATCCTTGGCAACAGAGATATAAAAAGGAAACTGATCTAGGGAAAGAGATAGATTCCTCAGTGCTAGAATAATAGGAGAAGAAACAAAAAAAAATTGGAAAAATAAGTATGATCACCACCCTAGCAAGGTGCTTCTGTAAAGTTAGCCTCAAGAATTATTACGTCACGGGTATCAGCCACTCATAGAGTACACTTTATCTTGATTATTGCAAGTGTTGCTTTCCAAAGTCCGGGGCTCGTATTACAGTAATGCCATAAATCCAAAGAAATTTGGCATAGACAAGCTTCATAAGATTTTCAATATTGAAATGTGCAACTAGTAAAAATATTAAGATATGACTGCAAATGTTTCGACTATGTTTGAAAGAGGCGAGGATCATAATAATCCAAAGACAAGTTTTCGCTGATAGAAACAAACCCTATCAATGAGTCTCACATACTTGAATGTACGAAAATGACACAAGCCGAGTATTGCCGAGCCATCTTAATCCTCTGATTACGCTACTATGAACAGAAAAGCTCGCAGCCACTGCATTCGCATAAACATCAATGATATCGATATTCCCACTCTGGGTCCCCAAGGCAACAAGTGGAACAGCTGCTGCTGGACTATTGCCCCCACCTTGAAAGATGCATATCAGATTAGCTTAAAATATACACCACCATTTTTAATTCACAAAACGTCAAATGTAAATTCAAAAACGAAAATGAATATTGGCAGAACAAGGCTTACAAGACAAAGTAGCAGTTAAAGATGGAGAAGGGACAGCTAGAGTAGTCACTGTTGATGACAAGAGATGAAGTTGGCCAATCATACTGATCTGAAAGGAAAAACCATAAGCATTCTCAACTTCAATGGTAAACGATACGAAAGGAAATCTTCAACAAGCAAGAAAAAATAAAGTCGAAGAAAAAATGTTTGTTAGATGTACCAGAGATGATCTCTGGAAGTAAATTTCCTTCATCTAGAGTTAGCAAGGTCAAAAAAGTATTTTTGTAGGTTACAAATGTTTGCATCGGAGAGATTTTGTCCTCAAGTTGAATTTAGAGAAGGCCTGCGGCTGGGTTAGGCGAGATAGTTCTTTACAGCCGCTGGAGAAGCCAAACGTAAATGGACATTGATGTATCACCTATGCTAATTGTGCTGTTCTAGTGAATAATGATACTTGGGAACATTTTCGTAGTTGGAGATGCCTTAGATAGCAGGGAAACCCTATCTTTCCTTACACTGTCTTGCATCCCGAAATACTATATAGAATGTGGCAGAAAACATGAATTCAAAGTTGAATCTGGGGTTTCCATCCATACTCACAAGACGCATATATCTAATTCATCATATGTTGATGACAAATGGCGTTCTGGTATAATAGAAAATGAACAATTATGCACGTACTGACACGGAATGGAAACTGTAAAAGGAGCACTGAGATGGCTCTGTCACTTTGGGGAGAGTGGGCTGCGTAGTTAAATCTACATCTTGTCACTTTAACTAAAAAAATTAAGATGTTCTGGTGGTTTTATAATATTTTGTTGCAGACACTTGTAACTTCTTTTTTACCACTTGCGACTATCTATTGAAGAAAGTGCCAAAGCCTAGTAGACAGAAAATTAACCTACACAAGAATCAAGAATCAAGAATCAAGAATACACACCACAGGAAAGTATATGCCACATCTAGCGATTAGCCTAGGAGAGAGACAAAGCTCGATAAGCTAGTTTCCAACCTTGACAAGAAGTTTCTCACTGGGACATGAGCCAGCCATCTGTGAGATAATGCTTTTCTCCAGCTCCTGTTGTTCACCCTCATTGGACCCTTGTATGCAATTAGAAGTATCTCTTGGCCCGCACTGGATTCTGTGAACGTTATCTCCAATGTTGTCACAAGGCAAGATCATATTTGGCCCAGTATCCTCACCATTTCTTGCCAATTCAGAAACTAGGAGCCAATTCCATATTTTCCCATCATCAGTAATAGATAGCAAGCATTTCTTGGAAGTGAATGTGGATTTTTGGCGAAAATCCAAGGGTCTTTCATTAGTCATAGAAGTTAATGACGAGCTGCTAGGTAAATTGAGAGAAAGGTAACCAACATTTTGAATGGTGGATTCAGATTGGCAGAGGATTACAGCAAGGACACTAGGAGATGGAACTGGGGTCCCAATTGTAGGCATTAAATCTTCCACTGTACACAACACATGAACCTGTCCATCACTGAGAAAAGGCACAATGAGCACCACCACTATGCACACAATAATATAATTTTGCACAAAGTTACAAACTAACTCACAAATTTTACAATGATTCCCAGATTAAAAAAAACATCTGTGAGGAATATGGGTGGGGGCAGAGAACAAAGGGACACAACTAAATGCCAGAAAAAATGATAATCCCTCATGGAAGCAAGTCGAGAGCGTATTAAATACATTGATACATTCAAAGCCCCTCCAATGAATACATTATGTAACCTAACGCAAAATGTGATTAAGATTATAACTGAAAAGTCAATCCAACTTATTAGACAACACTAGTTTCCAGATTTTTATTAGAGATATTCACTATAACTCAACTCTAACCCAGAATTCAAGCAAGATATCCATTAAACCGTTAAGGAGATTTCTTATTAGTTATCTTCTAATTTTCTACAACAGTCATTTGTAAATACCACTCTATGAATGCAATCGGAAAACAAAAATGGCATTGTGATATAGACATAGGAACATGTGAAGATAACTCATTACATTACCCAGGGACCTCATCATCACCTAAGCAATGAAGTCCTAGGTCACCAGCACAACTGTTGTAATAATATTATACAAATTAATGTCCTTAGGCCGTGGACATGCCGTGAAATTCTGAAAGACCTCGGTTTCTGTCTACGTGTCATCATATATTTCGACAACTTGACATATTCTTTTTCACATTACATTCAATAGCTTAAACAAGTATATCGTTTTTTATGCTCCTGGTTCAAGATATGGTTTCCATATTTCTCTGCACAGGAACATCACTTAAGTTGTGGAACTTTCATTCTTTGGATAGAGAAAGAAACATGTTACACAATGGTGAATTATTTCTCCTAGATTACCATATTTTTCAACACCAGCTTCATCAAAACTAGTTATAAACATTATGTAGTGGTCCATCATTATTTCAGATAAAGTTTTCTACCTCCTGCTGAAAGAGGCTCAGTTTCGACCCTTCAAATATTTTATACGATTTCCGCAAATTTTCATTTAATTGATACAGTCTAGCTCTTCCTTGTAATAAAGGAAGAGTAAAATATCTGCTAGAAAAACATGCTACCAACTGAATCTTGAGGAAATACTGTGAATTTTCTCTTCTTGTTACTAATACCAATTATTTCTGCTTTATTGAAATAGATAGTTGAACAGTCCACTTTGACTCTCACCCTCTCCTTATCTCCTCCATAGTGCCAGCTAGTATGTGACACGCAGGAGAGTTTTTATTAGATTTCCGATCATAAAGAAATGTGTTCCCCGTAAAAAAAGCAGCATGATGTGTTAATGAAATTTAAACGACAGGCATGATGTGCTAATGAAATTTAAACGACAAGCTAGGGCATCCCACATGGAGAGCTGTGTGAGATTCTCCTTAGCAAAAACTTCTTTTTGAGGTGGTAGAGGACCTTGGAAACCTGCGTCAACTCATGTTTTATTCCATCTTAACTAACGAGGTAGGTTGACCAAATTGTGAACCTATGGCATGTGCCTAAATTACTATTTCCAGATATCTATCTATCTCCTCTGCCATTATTAAAGTAGATCATGGTGATATAGAAGCTACCGAACCTCAATATTGAGAAGCTTCTTTCTGAGACTCGGGAACTAATCTCATCTACGCAATCAATAAAAAATCTCGGCCACTACTATTGCAAGATCAATAGGATCCCACACTATTTATATTTCCAAAATAATAACCTTTGATAATTCCCTGAAAATGTTCACTGTCAGCCATTTCTGCATCTTGAGCTTGTCAAACGTCTCTCTACACTAGAAACGCTAGTACTGAAGGCAAAGGGTAAGGCCTTAAGTCTTCTCATTCATTGGTACTCATGTTGATCTTTTAGCAAAACACCCTTTTTCAATTCTTAGTTTCAACAACAACATTGTAAGCGATGTGGGATTGAAATTCCTTAACTTAATTACACAAAGGCCTCCATTCTTTATTGATTTCTACACTTCTCCTCATTGATATCACAACATCCTTTGCATCAATTACAACAATTTTAAAAAAAAATCCTTTGAACAACCTTTTATACCTTTGGAACAATCTTTGGGATCTCATGCATGAAGAATAATACATAAGAATACTTGAAAAAGATCCCTTACAAAGAAGTAGTTAATCTCTGCATGAATAAGTCTACGTTTCAATCCTATTGATTAACCTTTAACTTTTTGTCGTAGTTTGAATCAATCCCTGTGAAATATAGTATCATATGGATAGCAGCAACCGAAGAAACAGGAAGACTTCCCAACTTGTGTCCCAGGACCAAGGCAGTTGTTTTAACTTCACTAATCTATGTTTAGATTCAAAATAAGCTCTTTGGATTATTCAGTAATCGGGTGACTTCTCCAAGAAGCTGTAGATCAAACCAGTGATGCTCAGTCCCTTTCTTCCACAGACGAGAATAGTAACATGAGCCCACTCTAGGTGACAAAAAAAGAGGACTATTTGTATGTTTGGAACAATCTGATCTACCCTCATCTCGCGTCCCTCATCCCTCTGCCTTCTGACACATTCGGCTGTGAACTCCAACAATTTAAACACAAGAGAAAAGAGAAGTTCACCTCGACAATAACAGAAAAAGATGGCAAGCCTTGTTTAGCACTGATGGCACACTACTGGATCCTCTCAATCTATCTTCCCTCAAACTCTCATCTTCTGGAATACGAGAATTTTTTTTTATTACATTTCCTACTGTAGGCTTTTCTAAGTTTCCAAATGATAACCAAAGCCCTATCCTCTCAAGCCTTCATGGGCTGACTGATAAATTTTCTACAGTTTACCTACACTTGATGAAGCCATTTTGATATCAGCTAATAAAATTATTAACAAAAATATGCCGCCTCACAGCTACGATTCCGAAAAAATACTAACAAAGAATTCATAAGGCTAGTGGCAAAACCATAACTGGGCAATTGATGCCCATCAAACAAGCTTTCCCCTCATGAAACTCCGAACTGCGTTCACCAAGAATAATCAAGATATCTCGAAAGCCATGAGATGAAGAAAAAGTAAATAAACAGTCCACTCGAACCTCAGCAATGGCAGAAAAAAACAGCTAGGTCGTCCTCTGTTAAATGATAAGTGAGCAATAGAAGAATTTCGATCTTCTCAAAACCGAAACCCTTTATATACAACATGAAAGGACGGCTAGTTGGATGTCACAAGCTCCTCTGGGGAAAAATTCTTGACAAATTACGAATTCAGTGAGATTTTTTTCTTTTCTCTACAATTTTTAACGGGAACTCCGAATGATGGCTGTTCAAGACGGTAAATAATCCATTAAAATGCGCCAACAGGAAAAAGGGGCAGTCCTTACTGCTTCCGGTTCCACAGGCTCAGCTTCCCGTCGCGGTGCACACAGTAGATGAGATCTTCATCAGGGTCCGCCATGATGTCCATGATCTTGCCGCACCCACGCGGGGGGGAGTGAGTGGATAGGGAGGCACCATACTGCGTATCAAACACGATCATTTCTCTAGGGAACGTGACCAGAAGGATGTTCCGCCACCGGGGCGAGAAGCAGAACTTAGCCAGGGCAAGAGGAAAGATCGCGGAGGCAGGAGCTGACGAACTCGATGCCACAGAGGACGATGCCTCTCTCTCCATTCTCTGAACCTCCGCCAGGTCGACTGGTACCTGATACTCCTTAATGGCAACATCAACTTCCTCCCCACTTCCTCCACCAAGAACCTTGGCGGAGAGCACGAAGCCCTTCAGGCTGAGGGCGCAGAAGTGCCTGGCATCGAACGGATCTCGGCGGAGACACGAGAGAATCTCGGGGGAAGTGTCATATTTCCAGATGCACCGGCTGGAGGAAGTGTCCCAGAGAGCAATGAGCGATGGTCCGCTAATGGAGGCCACGATCCAAGAGCTGGAGCGCACCCAACAGAGGTCCTGGATACCGAGTCTGGCCCTATCCGAGGAGGGGTCGAATTCGAGCCACAGAAGAACCCGTCTGGAACGGAAGTCCCAGATGGCAATTCGTCCCTGGCGGTCTCCGACTGCTAGGAGGAGGTTGGAAGTGGAGGGATCGTCAATGATGAGGAGATCCCGGGGAAGGGGGTGCGGCGCCCATCGCACTGATGTGACGAAAGGCGCAAGGGAGGACGAGGGAGTGGAGGAGCCGGACCGGACTGGTGCCGGCACAGAAAGAACGGAGATGAGCTGCATAGATCGGGGATCGGCTACTACCACGCTGCTGCCGGCGCCGTACGCGAGGAGGCCGGCGGGGCTGCAGTCTGCACAGCCGCCGTTGTCTCGGTTGGGAGGGCCTGGCAGCACGCTATCCCACGAGTACCTTGGCAGCGAATGGTCACCAACTTGTCCCCCGGAAGGGTTGCCGGCAGAACCCTGATGCAGCTCGGCCATGGCTTCCACCCCCCTGTCCCTCCGTGCCCTTCTATATCCTAGTCTAACTCCACATCTGCGGGAAAGGGAAGGAGATCCGCATCAGGCCGAAGGGCCGAGACGATGGAGGACGATGAATGAGAACGCAAAATAGATCGACCAGGCAGTCAGGGAAGGTTTGGGCAACGACGGTAAAGTCGGTGTTTATGTGCACCTTGAAGACAGTTGTGAGGCTCCTATTCAATTATTTTATCTTATGCCACAGTCAAACCTCTTGTTTTGACACCTGTTACTTATATTTAAAATTAACAATTAAAATGATCATGACAATATAGAATAAAATTAGACGTCAAAAAATGTAATTATTATTAGTAATTTCTAATTTCTTATAAAAGTTTTAGGCAAGGTGACTACATTTCAACTGTAAACACCATTGTGTTCTCATAGCCTCCTCATGTAGCCAGTATATGAGAGAAATTTCCCAGCACGAACAACCGTTCATTATATGATATGGAATCAAAAAGACTTTAGAATGAAATCATGGTCTTTTGTTTCTGGGTTATCTTCAAATTGAGAAATTCTCAAAGTGGATGGTGGAAGTTGAGAATTTTTGTACATATGAAATTTGCAAAAGAAAAAATGTTAAAATACAAGGTGGCGCACTAGCTTGGTGGGAGCAACCAAAGGACATGTTCAAGAACAAGAAAATCATGATACGGCTGGAAATAAAAATGAAAACAGAATGATTTAATTTTTTATATTATAAATATATTCGATACTAGTATTATGAAAAACCCAAATAGGGTGATACATCAAGTATGCTAAATAGTGTAATAATATGATATATTGAGAGGAAAGTGTGTTGTTGTCCCTATTAACACAATCCATCTTGACTTGCTGAATTAATCACAAAGAAGGCAATAGAAAGGCCTGGTCCGTACCTGCCGAGAGATTTGGTCTTCATGAAGCGGGAGTCGGAAAGAAACCCAAACAATCCATCGCTCCTCGAGGGACGGAGAAGGAACGCTCAGACTTTCGTGGAACACGTCTCCTACAGTGTACGCGACGCGGCGGAAAGTCCAGGAAAGAATGGGGAGTCGGACCTCGAATCCACTGGCACGAGAATGTCAATCGTCGATGCCACCAAGAATAACTTGGACGGCCCTCCAATCTACAATGATTTGAATGGCGCCCCGCATAATCCACAAGGGTTGCTCGAGTCCCCACAGAGAGAGGAGGCGCTACAGAGAGAGATGGAGCATTCTATCACTACTGAAACAACCTGATGGTATAGCGCGTGGGCGTTTAAATAGGCACAACCCGCTCCCAAGTTCCATTGAAGGTACACCTATGACGGTACAGCAGGTTGGGGATGGTTAGGTCTCTCATCTGGCTGATTCTGAGCACAATACCAATCTACTACAATCACAAGGTTTCTCGTCCGGTACCTGCTTATGTTCAACCACAATACTAAAAAATAAAGAAATCATTCAACCCTGGAAAAAATTAAGTTGTGACTAAGATCAACATCGAATCTCCTCCTTGTCTGTCACACAAGGGTAGAGACAAGATGATGCAGGGGTTCTAAATGCATATACATCGTTCTTAAAATAAAAATGAATAAAAAGAAAGAGACTAAAAATCAACTCTATTGTGTGCCTGACACCCACATCACTCATAAAGCATAAAGCGAAGGTAGATCATGAAACAAGCTTGAAATAACATTAACCAATCTAAAGTTCCCTGTTCACTACTCAGCTAGTCTCCACAAGTCATGCAGAGGGAGAGGAGATTTCTTGGGGTGACAACCTTGCTTTCTGCCACTGGTATCCACCTTGCTGTGCACGCCGTTGTCACCGATTTCACCTCCACTTGTCACTCACGAGGAGATCCCGTTGATGTCGCTGGATTTTGCAGTTTCCGTTGTGTTACAGGTTGCCACAGTAAAACCATCTCGTCGATTGCTACCACTGCTCTGCTGCATCACCCAGGAGATGAGGGAAAACATACAGGCATGTTGCCGTCGTTGCTGCACTGTTGCCGCCGTCACCCCCCTCTGCCCTCTTTTGCCGGCCTGTTGTGTCATTCCACGAGCCCCGCGAATTGGGGAGACGTTCCGTGCCATAGCTCCTACACCGGCCTCCCTTTTCATCCTTCATAACAAGCCTTATACTAGGCTTCTTTCCAATCTCTTACTTGGCCCATTACTGAAGCTAGTTACTGGGCGCGCCTTTCTCCAAACCTTGAAGTTGTTAATGGGCTTTCTTCTACAGCCAGTCCCTAATTAAATCAGGAGGATTTCCCAACGTTGCAAATATACATTTTTCACCAATAAATGATCTGTCTAATGAGTGTAACTTTAAAACTTTATACTCAAGTGTAGGTTAGAAGAGAGAAAATACATATTTAATCTAAGAATTCATGCAATGCAATTGAAAACCGGATTTAACATTTTCACTCAATTTGGTTGCTTTTATTGATGATTAAAACTCTTATTTCCCAAAAATCTATCTTAATCATCATCTGTAGATGATGCATCAACACAGCCCCCAACTTATGTCATTATTAGTCATTTAGCAATGTGTAAAAAAATGATTTAAAGATAGTATGATTCGAAATATCATAATTCAGTATCATGAAATTTAGACAGTGGTTAATTATTTGAGCATATTTTCAATTGCTTTTGTAGTCAACTTTTGAAGATTTAATCAATATGTTTTTGTCTAAGTACTCCACAAGATTTTACTACAAATGTCAAATCCTTTCACCTATAGGATAAGCATTGTTGTTTTAGTAAATATCATATATTAGATATTATAATTTTTTACTACCACCTCTGAATGATCTCTATTTTGCACACTTCTATTCGAGTTTTTGTGTTTTGAGACTTTACCTTAGCTCCTCACCATTATGTTGTTGTGGGCATGTAGCTTTTTCCTCACATATATTTTTTTTTTGGTTTGATGGGAGGATGAAATCTTCCTATCCTTGTATATTTCCTGATTTTTGAAGCTTTCACTCTACTCATTTTTCCTTTCTTGTTATCCCTCTTCTTCTTATTTTTTCTTTTTCGGAGGAGTCATGTGGCTTTACTCACATATTTTCTACTTGGAGGTACATAAACCAGACCTGATTGAATCATCATCATGAGATAATGAGCTTGCTGGATCACCATTGGTTCTTGCAGGTCTTCATGCTTGTGGTGACCTTTCAGTGAATATGTTGAGGTTAAGATCTTCTCGTTTGTGTTAAGCTAATGTTGTGAGCTGGTTTATTTCTCCTTTGTTTGGTCCAATCCGCTCCCTTTGGTTTAGAAAAGCTATTTTGCTCATGTATTCCACCAAAAAAGAAGTTTGTATTTACTAATGCATGGCTTGTGTTGTGAATTCAGGACTTTCATAGAATGTGAACAAGTGAAAGCCGTTTTTTGCATTAGTTGCTGCTATAATTTATTATCTGATGAACACTTTGCAAAGTCAGACTCGTGTAATTTTCGTATGAGCAAAGGAGGTAAATCGTTGGGCTTGGTTCTTGGAAGAAGTGCACGTGATCTTGGTCGTCAGGTAACCAGTTCTGATGAACACATGATTATCAATCTATTATCCTTGTTTCAAATACAAGGGGTTTAACTTAGATTTGAAGGTATTAGATGTCGAACAGCAAAGGAATAGCCATACGTGGAATTTTCCCCTGAAAGGATCTAATATGGAATTGTCTTGAAATCAACTGTGATGCTAATGCACGGTCTTTGGAATCAGATCGTATCTGGATCAGTGAAAAAAAATAAATCAATTCAGGTCCCTAACCCTCTCTGGTTAGCCATTTTAGATTAGTTGGCAGCTTTATTTCGTATGCACAATTTATGCACAATTCTGGGCGTTGAGTCATCAGAATCAGGTTAGAATTCCCTCCACTCTTCTCAAAAATCAGATCAGCAGAATTCCGTGCACCACGTGTGAATGTGAAAAATTCCCCTCATCATTGTTTCTAAGTGGAATGGGTTTGACATGAAAAGCGCATGGTTGTTTCTTCTTCTCCATGGTTGTTTCTATGTTAGATGCACAATTTGATCTAGGTATACCTATGGGAAAAAATAAATGTAATGACATATCATGGCTTTCTTCCTTGGATCAGCCAATATTTTCAATACGGTCTCATCTGGATTAAGGTCGTACTAGGTCAATCTGCAGTTGTTAATCATGCTCATCTTAACAACCTCCGTTTAAACCGAGCCCTTTTCAATATGTAACCTGGCATGAATCATCATGCCTTTGTTATGAATATGCACAACCTATTGAAAATTCTTGTGCTGAGAAATGATCTACAATGAAAGTCAACAATGACCATTATGTCTGATCAAACACTACTTTTTAAATTGTATTAATTATTCTTAATGATTTTATTGAATTCATCTCATTTGTTTGCACTTTTGATAGGGGACATGACAACAAAGACATGAAGTGAAATGAATGATAAATTTTGACTTATCTCGTGTTTGTGACCTTTTTGTTGAAGCCTTTGATATTGAGGAAGATACTTGTGACCTATTTAATGCTTGAAAATCGGAAGACCTGTGAACATCTTAAAGATGAGCATAACAAGTGCATGAAAATAGTGAATATAATGGCCAATAATTGACATTCCTAGTATATCAAAGTTAACAAATGTAGAATGCGTGCTTATGAATCAATGCAAAGTGCTCTTGATTACTATTCTCCATGTATGAAATCCCGTTTCATATTCTCATCCCCACAAGACCATTTAGATCTTGAAGGTTTTACTACAGAAGAAATAGCAGTTAATTCACTTTTCCTTTTTAGAGTGAAGAAAGGTGGAGAAGTTTTACTAAAGATGCTGCTATCCAGAACTTCGAGTTACATGCCTTCTGTGCTGCCTTTCAGCTGGTGAGTTAGTTTCTCCTCTGATTATAAGAGTTCATCTTCACCTTGAAGATTTTAGGCTTTATTAAATAACCCTTGAGCCCTTTTTCTATGTTTATTTCAAGAGCAGGTTCTTCCTTTAGCAAATAACTTTTATTTTCCTGTAGAACCTCGATAAATATTATCCTTCCACACTGGCATTGACCCCTGCTATTGGACGGCAAGGGAAAGCTTTGAGACGTAGACAGTCATGGAAAGTTTTGAATTCACAATTGGATGGAGGAGAACATAGTATTGAATTTTCTCCCAAGGGCCAATGTGACAAAGAGCTACATTTGTTGACTTTGAAGTGTGCTGAAGTTGAAGCTGCCAATGGCCATGACAGAGGTTCAGTTGTAGGAGGTATTATATTATCCTTGTTTAAACATTTAACTAATAACGTTTCTGCTGCATTAAGCATTGAATTAGTATGATTTTTACATTGTGCTGGATTAAGAATTGAATTAGTGAGATTTCAGTGGACTTCTGCGTTAAACATGGAGTTAGATTTAGATAGTGGTACTGCATCAAACATCGAATTAGTATATTTTTTATGCGGGGACTGTGTGTAGTGAAATTTTGTCTAGCTCTTATTTGAGCATTGACTTGATAATTTTTTTAATGAAAACGGATTGAGAAATTGTATTAGGCAACTCTATGCTTTCGGTGCCCTATTTTTGTCATTAATTTATGATTCTATTTTTATTTTTTTGGGTTAAAGTTGCAGATTGCTCATGCGCAACCTCAGGCAGCCAGGATGTTTGTGGAAGTTCCAGAAAAAATTCTCTGTTTGAAGAGTTCAGCAGAGCTGATCTAGCTCGCCTTGGTATCGCAAACACAGATGATACTGACCTCCTGGGAGTATGTAAGGATGTTCAACCTTTCATTGAACTGCCTTTGGATTTCCCGTTCCCCTTTTTATTCTTTTCGGCAGGATTTTTTTACACCAGAATCCTTTTAGCATCTCTTCTGCCTTCGAAGTGATTTTTTCGAATATTTTCGGCATCAAAATTCCTCTGGTACTATTTTCTTGTCCATTGTAGTATAAGACTCAACAAACTTATTGCCTCATACCCATAATCCTTTTAAATTATATTTCATGATTTTAGTAATAGGCATGATACGTTCCATGCACAATATAATGTGCCCAAATTTATTCAATGCCTGCTGTGCTGTCAGATGGGGCCCTGGGAGCCCTGAGAAAACTTAGAAACAACGGTCTGAGTTTTTGATTAGATCTCAATAGTTGGCGCAGGCTCCTCCTACCTACCTCCTACCAAGAAGATGAACAAAGCGGGATCGCTTGTTCACTCAACTTTTTTAATAGCTTTATTTGCTTAATTCGGAATATGTGCATGTCGATACATTTTTAGATTACTTTACAGTTACTTTTTTCCTTTTTTGTTTCTGCTCTTCATAATTTTATCCCCCTCGTAGTGCAGCTGAATGGGCAATTTGATAAAATAGATTCGGGCACTTCGAATATCTCAAGAATCAAACAACCAGAATAATCCATGCTTCAACCCATGAGATTTCTACTCTTAAGCCCATTTTCCGATGATAATCTCTCTCTCTCTCTCTCTCTCTCTCTCTCTCTCTCTCTCTCTCTCCTCTCAAAAGCCAAAAATATTAGGGATAAGATATACATGACCAAAAATATCCAAAAGCCATCACCTTTGCTCATTCTACTTCTCTGATGATCCTTCTCTTGCGGTATGACTGGGCAGAGATGCTCCCGGGGGCACTGTGGGCCTTCCTCCTCTTCTCTTTGGTCCTCTCTGCCTCGATGATTGTGCGCCTCAGATTGGCAGCCTTGTATATCGGTTTGGGCAGATGCCTATGCCTGTAGGGAGCAAAAAAGAGAGTTTTGTGTATTAACACGATGGAAAGAGTCAAGAGTCTCAATGGAAGGGCCTCCAGCGATCTTAACTGTTCTTCGATTAAGGCAACCAATAACCTTTTTAGTAAGAACAAAACATAACCATAAGCAACTGGAAGAAGATTAAGAGTATTATGATTCAACCCAGTTTTCCCAATCTCGGCCTGGAGTATCTCCGGTCTCGTTTGTGGGACTGGATTGAGCCCACTATCTCTTCCCATATGGCTGTCTCACAACCATCCATATGGCAGCTTCTCTCTCCCTCTCTCATGGTCACACACACACACACACACATATATATATATATATATATATATATATATGTTCATAATGAGAAATTGTGTGGGGCGGGGGTCTAGATTATCTGGCCAACCAAGTCTGTGTAATGTGTGAAAAAAAGCATGGGGTGTGCCACTAGTGGAGACAAGGGCCGAGCTCATTCACAAGCCTGATGAGAACATCATTAGTATGCTAGTATTATGATTACAGTAATGTAAACTTCCCCGTAAATCTCCTGACTGATTTCAGCCTCATCTTCAAGCATATCATTCATGAATTGTATGCGCAGACACGAGAAACATGCCATTCACGTGCTAGTATTATGACTGCGTCCTCCAATGCTCTTGAGGTTTTCAAGTAAAAATTTAAGACTCGACCGGACTTCCCATGAAACATCAAAAACTATTTGAAACTCAACTAAGCCATTACAGAAATTGCGTCAAAAACATTTATAAATAAATAAATTCTTATTATAAATTATTATTACAAATTATTGATCAAAATCATATATCCTCTCAAGATAACACTTTTAAGCGCTTAAGTAAAAATTCAAAGATTGACAATTTACACGTTTCCCCCTTTTCCTTTTCCCAGTCTGCTATTTCTTCTTTTCTAGATAGCAGCAGGCACTATGAGGAAGTTTCAACTGGAAGAAAAAGACGCAATATTTGAAGATGGTGTCTAAAAGTCGTTAGATTAATAGTTCTCAAGAAGTAAGACAACCCTTGTAAAGTCCAATTCTTCTGTCTCAATTTTCTCAACAGTTGTGCCATATTTTTGTTTTTTTGGTTCCTAGCTCGATCCAAATTCGGGAGAAATGTTATTTTAAACATATTTCTGTAAGGACTTCAGACAGACAGGTCTCTACAGGTTACTAAAGAGACTGATCCTTCTTTTACTCCCCTTATTTCCTCATTTTCTAATGTCACTCTCCATCTTTTTTCTTTGAATATATGGTAAACGTGTGCTTAATTGTGGAAGAGAGCTTACCTAACAATGCGATTTACTTCAGGAAGGTGCTTGTACCGATCTTTGACCGCGTCAAGATACTCCTGCTTCTTGCGTTCCCTCGGGAGAACCTGCAGAACAAAAGCTTAAATGGTTCATGCTATCCAACAACATAAATAAGATGAACCTAGCACGACAGGGTTGGTTGGTAAGATAATGAAACCTTTCCTCTCATAATCAATAGACTGACAAAAATATACTCTATTGTAGTACTATAAATATTATCAGAAAGAATGGAATAATTATTCAGACAATGAAGGTTCAAAAGAAGAGAGAAGACAACTTTGGAGGGAAAAGAAGATGAAATTACAGTCATAAAGAACAGAGACCGTCCTCAGTCCATTAAAAATCTTTATGAAAGCTGTTGGGGCCACCAAATATAAACTCAAAACCTTGTACCAGACTGGCTACAGAAGAAAATAGTCTTAAAAACGAGCCTAGATAAATAAGTCTGCCGAATTCCATTTAGATTTTAGGAATAAAGACTGATGCTTTCCTATATCTGAGAAGAATAAAAATCTGAGATTGGAGAATTAAAATAAGTGTGATTGTTCAAATAAAGATCTAGCTAAATACAAAGGGACGTTCAAACAAGAATGAAATTTATTTATTCCATAGCCAGATTCATAGGTTGGTGAACTAAATAACGGCATACGTCAGTCCCCACGTACTTATAAAACAGAGACCTACAGTGTAAGTGAATATATTCATTTGCCAAAGGCCACTCACGTAACAGGTACAGATTTTTCTATTTAAATGTGAAGAATATTGACAAATCACAGCAAGACCTCCATACATTTTCGAAATTAAAAACACACAAAAGGAACTGATCCACCTGTAGGTCACCTTTGAATTCTATATTTTCTTTAAACAGTCAAGGGTGGGAACTGTTATGTTGGTCTAATTCCCACTGAGAAAATGAATGAATAGTTAGAGGAGATGCTTACAACTCCTAGTTGCTCTGAAGCTTTGGCTTTCCACAACCGAAGATTGGTATCATCACTCCCGGAAATAAGATATGTCCCATCACAGCTATATTTGACACAAAATACCCTACATATAAAAATATAACCCGGTCAAGTGGTTGGACGAAGGCAAAGTGTTTTGTAATCATACACTGATAATAAGAACTCCACACAGAAATGGGAAAGACATCAAGAAATCAGATCATTCGGACCATGGGCAGTATTGGATACGATATCAGTCCAGAATATTTCACAAGGGTAAATCCATGCTGAGAAGGAGATGAAAATTTTATGATTGTAAAATATGATATAGACCTTTGCATTCTTTTGGTGTGGTAAATTTCCCTGCTGCGACCTCCATTATATTGGAAGATTCTCACCTGAAATATTGTATTTTAATGAGCGAAGTTAATGAACAAATATTCTAGAAGAATGCTCTCTATCATGCTCAACTAGCGCCACACAAGAAAAAAAATCCAATTACGTTCCCAATCCCAACTACTCACAGTTCTATCATAAGAACCAGTTACGAATTCCCGGCCAGTCGGAGAATAATCAATGTCCATTCTGAAAAAGTAAATTTTGATGAAACTTTCAGTTTTCTACAAAGGAAAGCTTCCCAGAAATAGGAACAGTTCAGATCACTCACACAGCAGATACATGGTCCTGATGTACACACTTCGCTTCATCCAGTTTCCTAGCATCATAGCTATAGCAATTGCAATCTTCATTTGCCTGAATTTAATAGGAAAAACACTTAACAGAAAAACAAGGAACTATTTTCATTTGATTCCCCTCTTTTCCCTCACTAAAATTTATAGGTGAAGTTTATTAGGCAAGTTTTTATTATACACATCCAATAAATGTGCAAAGTAATGCATACATTCAAAGCCTGACAGGAGAAGAATGGCATAATTCAATCATGAACTTCTTATAAATTGATTCGAGATATAAACTTCCACGTTATTTTACTTCGTAAAGACACACAGAAGTCTCCCCAACACTAAGATGCAACCCATCAGCAATTAGATTGAAGATAACTGTCCACTGATGAAACATTTCATTTCCAATGGCTGATTCCAGTGAAGATTTCAACGCAATAATAACTGATGTCCAATTCTATCTAATGTGCTTACCGCTGTGAAGTTCATTGGCTCCATTGGATTCCAGGCTATAGAATTAGTTTTGGTCTGCACCAACAACAAAACAAAGAGAATGAGACGAAAAATTCAGGAAATAGCAAAATACATCTCACACAGAAGAGGAAAAATATATAGAGAACCTCTTTCCATGTTTTAAGATAATCTTTATAATTCTCCCATATATAATCTTCTACAAAGATTAGCATGGCTTCTAACAAAGCTCAATGGCACCTCTGACATCAAAATAAAAGTTCTCAACAAAATAAGCTGAGGGTGGCGGTCTAGGCTTAGGGGTAAACCGTGGATCCTGACTCTTGTCCAATGATAATTCCAACTGAGCCAAAGCCAGTTAAAAGTTCTCGTCTCCTAAGCAGGAGCTAAGAGGCCACAAGGTGGCAGTGATGTAAGAGGTAACTTCTGTGGGGTACTGCGAAGTTTAATGTGTTGTAGAGGTTTTGTTTCGGAGGAAATTCTACTTTCTGGGGGTTGCTGGGCTGATAGTTTTTATTTTCGTCATGATCTGTTTAATCCCTTGCTGGTGTAAGACCATATCAATGTAGAAAGGTTTCTTTCTCAGCAGTTCAAGCTTTTCACAATCGCACACATTCTCTTTTTCCTGTTTTGATCATGAAATACGATTTATTTTCAACAATAATCGTCAAAATTGTGTGATCAATCAATTCACAGGTTTAGAACTTCGCACGAGCAAATAGTCCAGTAGATCATTTTGAGGATGTGCGAAGGAACAAACCATATTTTTACCGTGGACCTAATTCAAGGTGATAACTTGAGCAATCGATGTGATACAATAAAATTATATGAGAGCCCATGGATATAATATAGGATGTGAGATAAATTCTGTTTCTTTTTCTTATTTGTAGTTATCTTCTGTCTGTAAAGCTACATATGGTGCTTTGCTGTTAAATATAATAAGATCTATGATGTAATTTTGACTATACTTCAAGAGTTGATATCAACCTAAACACGATTTGAAAGAATCATTTTTCTCATGCAATAGCTAGAACCAAAGACACGACGTTATATTCTGGTGACATAAAAATGACAAGGAGCCAATTTCTTCACCTTCATAATAAGTTTTCTAGCTGGCGAAGACATACGCAAATCATAAATTACTATGCTCCGGTCACTGCAAATACGCGGTGTTACATTCTGGTAGACTGCCATTCTAAGAAACTAAATGAATTTAAAAAAAAAATGAAATTAAATAAGACAACAGGAGTACAATGTCAAAATAAGGGGAGTCAAGAAGAAATAATTTGCTCATTGAATTTCTCAAAAAGTAAGATAGGATAATTTTCTTAGAGAGCCCATCTTAGTATGTTCCAAAAGTCAGTACTCGAGAAACAAAGTGCAAGAAAAAATATATGGCCAAGAGGGTACAAGCACCATAAGAATATAAATGAAGCCCATTGAGGAAAAGTAAAGTAGAATGTGGTTAGCTGACAACTGAATATATTCACCTCCCAATGAGGCCATGGGACTTTATCTGGAGCCAGTTAAGGCACTACATCAAAGAGGGAAACTATTCAAAACTCATATTTATTATGATGAAACTCAACCTTGTCTGTGCTTTCAACCTCACCCTCCACTAGGATTCTTAAATTTTGGAGAAACACCAGGGAGCCCCATTTGTATGTACTGTTTAGGTTGTAGTCGTTGGTGCAATTCGTCTGTTTAGTTATTCCCAAGAAAACATATTATAGGAACTGTGTACGATATTCATATGATATCTATGTCTGATTAAATGCTTTTATGTCCTCTAAAAATGGATCTTCACCATTGATGGCGATTGACATTGACATTGGTCACATGGTATATGAACGTATGCATTTGATTAAATGCAGCTTTTATCTGGAGGATATGACAGCTCCACCTGCTCACTACAATCTTCCAAGAGTGAAGGAGAGAGGTCACAATCAACAAAAGCTTCAAGCTGTACATTACACCACAAATTCCTGGTTCACACTGTTGTACTGTACCACGACTTCATTCACTGCTTTCCTTGGGGACTAGTTGGAACCAGAGAAGATGAGGTTCTAGAAAGCAACTCTACATTCTAGGGTGCATTCGAACCAACCATTGATGAACCACCAAAATCCACAAGCTCACAGGAATGATGGTGGAGGAACCACCAAAGAATGTTTGATAGCTCACATTTTGTCAACCTTTTACACGCAAGCACTAGCCATAGTAAATGGTTCCACCATGAGCTATCTCCAATGTATGTGAATTTAGCAAAGAGAACCACGAATTATGACATGAATCCTCTAGATAATCGTAGGCATTTATGATAAGGGTATTAATAATAAAAAATAGTGTATTGCTACAAATCATAACGGACGGAAAATTTGTACACATCCCAGGCTTCTAGATTCTCTTATGAAACCTTCAAGAGAGAGATCAGGGTGACGATTCTCATTCCTCTTGTTTACACTTCCTCTTCATCATTGGTGGCTTCTATTTGTCACTCTACTACCACCATGCAGCAACTAGAACCTTGAGTAACCAATGGTCCTCAATTCGAACTATAACTAGAACCATATCTACCTAGAGGATCAATTCACTTCTGAACCTAGTGTTTATATTGGGTCACCAGATAAAGTAGATTGAAAGATACAGTTCATTTTTTAGCTGAAAGTTGCCAGATCAAAACATATTTAGAGTCAAAGGTGTTCCCACCTCACCAGCAATCAATTCAGTCTTGCTATGTCGATTGTCATAACTAAGTCCCATGTTCTCATAGGCTCTTCTACTTGGGTGTCAACTTTTTTCATACATGTTTCAATATAGAGTATGGGCTTATAAAGATTACTGACACTAGTTATTATTTAATAAAGATATTTTCAATATCATAAACATAAATGTGTTGATTACTTGCCCGTTACAGCCAGCTATCTCAAACGACTTCACCACATGATGGGCAAGAGATTTACACTGATTCAACTGTTCCCAAGAAGGTCAAATCTTTTAGAAAAAATGAACAAACGATTTATACATGAATAGTGCAATGTCCTTACCTGGCTGATGTCGCCAATAAATTAGGTTCTGCAGGATTAAATCGAACTGAAACAGAAGTCTCATTTCCCCATCCAAAGGTGTTCAACGGTTCAGACCTTTTGTAGAGTATAATTTGGAGTCATGAAGCAATGCTGGGTCAAATACAGATTAACCTTAATGAATTCATCATTTTCATTCAAATATAAGGTAAGCGAAAAAACCTGTTGTGGTCCCATATATCAACTTGAGCACCAGCCGTGGCAAAAACATTACCATTCCACTGATGATCAACTGCCCTGAAAATATTGAAGTAGAAAAGCACAAGTTTTTTTTTTCTGACATGACAAAACTAGATCATAGCAGACCTTGCATGATGCCATTGCAAAGACAATAACTACGTTTGGTTGAAAAGAAACTTCGAAGCTCACCAGAAGGCATGCTTCCACGCATAAACTATCAAAGGCTGAAAATTTGAAAAAAAACATCTTTTAATGTCCATGAAAACATGAGATATTATCTACATGGCATATTATGACTGAATATACACACTTTTGAGACATTTCTGGATGAATCCTCAGACTCCCCAGCTCCTGCTATGGGAACACTCCACAGTCTGACGCTGCAAAGAAAATTGCAACCCGTGATGAAAATGAAAAGTATTTTAGATTATCCAATTATAAGATGTGTATGCAAAATTAAATGACTACCAATGAAAAGTTATAAAAATGGTGTATATGGATAAATATTTAAAGTAAAGAAACAATAAAATTGACATCCAAAGAATTCACAGAAGAGGTAGGTCAACGAGCATATAGCCAGGAACTCACGTGCAATCAGTACCACAGGATATAAGAATGGTCCCATCTGTAGATACGGTCAATCCACGCACAGCACCTTTGTGACCAGGGTACTGACAAACAGTGCGCCTGTTTTCATAAGGAGAATCCAAAGAGCAGCAATGAATCCACACCATAGCATAAGAGATTTGGGCAAATATAAGATAGAACTGACAAGCGAAGCCTTTATCAAAAAGAAATATGGAAAGAATCCATGTGGAATTTCATGAGCCGCAAAGGAGCATCATGTCATAGCCTAAGAACATTTCTAAGCGATGAGAAAGATCCCCTAAGTCAATCGGTCAAATCAATAACAAAAGAAACTAAAATTCCCAGATTTCATATGCTACCTGGAAGCCATGTCCCAAAGGCGAATATCTGTAAAAAAACCCAAATGATCAGGAAACGTTTGAGAAGCCAGAGAACAATTTTAGCAACAAGAATAGTGGTTTAATAGGGGGCAGATTCAAGGTTTATAATTGATCCGGAGCAGTGAATCTCAAAGCCATGAAATAAAAAGATAAAGCACACAAGTTCTTACATCAACAAAACCAGTTTAATACTGATGGAAGAACCAAATTGGGGTTCCCAAAGACTATATGCTATGCTAATTAATCGAAAAGTATTATCTTAATCAACGATGGCTTAGTCCTGTATATGTAGGTCCAGCTAAATAGATGATGCGCACAAAATTAAGAGACAAGTTGCAAATCCATCCGCTCTGATAAAAGTGGGCCGTCTACAAATTTTTGATTTAAACTCGAAATGTACAACCATAGATGAGAAAATAGAAAGGAGACCAAGAAGTAGCAATAACCGTCATACTAATATGATCCAAGTTCCATTCTAAAAAAATCACCTGCTTTAACATCCCTAATATAAAACACCGTCGCACCATCACAATCCTTCTTCAAATGATGCCTACATACATCTTATTATTACCATTTCTTCAAGGATTGGTGGATGAAAGTGATGCCCTCTATCTGCTTTGATTTTTCTTACCAGACATCTTTCCAAGATGCATGTGCATGAAATATTTTTATACAGTCAAAAAAATGAATATATGTGTCCACTAACCACCCAATACACCAAACAATGAGTTCACCGATCCACATGCATCCATCAGCTTCATATTTCTTTTAGGCAGAAGGGTAAGGAGACCACAGCCTCTTAGTCATACTACGTGACCCCCTCAGAACATATGGTCATCATTATAAACAGCATGGTTAACCCAGGGCAGAGTACACATTTTCTCCTTCACCAAAGAAAATAATAGAACGACATTGAATTCCTGCATTTATTCTTCTCTGGAAAAATATGCTTCGTTCGAAAAGGAAACCTTCGTTTGAATTGCCACTTCCACTTCATCTGAATGGGCATACTCATGGGAGACGAAATATCATGTACACTTTTTGGCAGTTGCCATGAGTTTCAACATTGACAACACTTTTTTTAGGAGAGTCTTATTGTTAACACTACTGAATTCCATGTTTTCAAAAGAGACGGACTTTAAAACTTTTCAGTAGCGTTTACATGAGTCTCTTCAGAGTCCAACATGTCCATCAGATGCAGCTTATTCTTTTCAATTGTAAAAATAAGTTGTGCCATCAAGAACGATTTAAAAGAGTAAAATGGAATAAATAATTAACAAATTTCAAACGACTAATACTTATCAAGTCATGAATATATTACAGACAGACAAGGCAACGTAATAACAGGTTTAACATGTATGTTCTCACTGAATAAGAACTAACCAGAGTAACTTGTTTCTGAATAAAAAAAGAAGACACAAAACATAGAGATTAAAGCTAAAAAAGAAGGTTTTCTAAAATTGATGATCCCCATACAAACTGAAAACATTCTACTGACTAAAGAGCCTTATAGTCACATGATTCCACACTTCATAGTCACCTCCATCCATTGAGGCTGAAAATATGCCTTTCAGGTGATTAGGGTTCTTTGCCATACACGATACTCCATCAGCGTGTCCATCCATTGCGCCAACAAAAGGCCTTGCAAAAATCTAAAATAGTGTCGTTTCGATGTTTCAGGGAAAATGATTATGAAAGCAAAAATGGATAAATAAGAATAGAAAGAGAAGAACCTTCTCCAACTTTGCAGCATTGACGGCTCGGGCATATTCTACCGCTTTCTCCTGAGGGCGTAAAGCTGGATCATAGTTCCTAAACACTCTCTACTCAAAATAATTGTTTTAGTTTCAGATGAGACCACTGAAGAATAAAATAAAAATAATCCTAAAAAATATATACAATTAGCCAAAAACTTGGTGAGGAACAATTGTGTAATTTCTCTACACTTCATTTCGGATTCGAGTTCTATTCCCATAAACTTCCAAATGTGAGGGTACTCGTTCCACTGTGATCAGTAAACCCACGAAGCATGGCCCTTCTGCCGACGATTAGCTCTATTAGTCCCCCCTTTAAATCAAAGAAGTACCAGCCCTCCCAACTTTACAATGATACCCCCTGCTTCTGGTCAACAAAATGTGGGCAGGATTTCACCTGGAGATCCTGACTGCGCTCTCGCGTGAACTCCTCCGTGGAACGGGATATGACTTTCACCTTCATCTCTCGGAAGACGCCAAAGCGCCCGAGAGGACGCACAGACGAGGGTAGAGGAGGAGACGCTCGAAGATTGCCGTCTCGGGGCGCAGGAGAAGGGAGAGGCAGTAGATCCGAACCGTTCCGTGATTAAAAAAAACCCTAGAGCCTGCCGACTTGGGACAAGCCAAGTGGGCAAGGAGCACGTTTCGGATCCGATATCCGAACCGAACAAGCCGGTACTGCCTTGAGAAATGGTTGAAGGCCCAAAATTAGCCGGTATCATGGGCGGAGAGGTGGGGCGGCGGGAATTTTCACGGGAGGAAGTTGTACGACCTCGCCTTCTACCAGAAGCTCGGGGACGGTTCCACCATGTCAGTAACTCCGTAGCCATGTCCGTGGACAACAGCAGCGTCGGGTCCAACGACTCGCAAACCCTGTTACTCAATCAGCTGGGTCTCCGGCCCATGCCCACCGACAGCAACTCCGTGGGACACAGCATATTCAATTATATTATATTGAAATTCCCAAGTTCACTGATCAATTTGTGACTGCAAGTGTAAAAGATGTAATAGTTCATGTCTCTATTACCTGTTGAAGGCCAGAAGTCGCAAGTACCACAGCATTTGTGCGTAGAAACAATAACCTTACAGCACATAAACCCTGACGCAATGCGCATTGGTAGGATGCTCTAGTTGTATTGTACAGTAAAACATCAATATCAAAGTTCAAGTCCACCTGTTTTAATGTATCTTTGCAGAGTGAAATGGTTTGAAAAAATTCTATGCTATGAGAAAAAATAGCACTTAAAAGATGCAATAAGATCTCCATGAGAATGATGCAAACGCACAACCTGAACTTCCAAAAATGAACGTTGAACAACTGCAAACTATCTGCAAACTCCGAAATCAAATGAATAAGATACTTCTACTGGCATTGGATCTAGGTTGCCCACAATGATATAATAGTCAAATGATTTTAGGATCTTTTGTTAACAAGACTACTCCCTGAAACACATGCATTCTACTTTTAGAAAGGATTTATTAACAAAAAAATGATATCTTTTTCAAACTATTTATAATGTTGCATTATTTAGCTCATTTGTTGCATCATTTTCATACCATCAGGTTGGGTTTGAGAGGGTTGATTTTTTTGAAATCTATTTTCTTATTTTAGACTAAATTCAGAATTTGAATTGGGTCTAAGTATTTTTAGATTTTGAATATTATTTGAGTCTCTCTACGATAAATTATTCCTCCAATTAAGATTATAAGAATTAAAAAAAGGTTTCCTATTTTTACTAAAATCATGGGCTACTTGTACTTGTCTCTATATAAGCTAAAATGATTAATCTTAATTATAACATTAAAATTCACAATAGTCATTTTTACCATACATAGACGAATACTCTTTAAATTAAATTGAGGGTTATGATATTTTTTAATAATCTTAATAAGTAAATGAAGTTTTTTTAATATTTGAATAATCTGATTAACCTCATTTCTTAAATTAGAATTATTTTGATGATGTAATTTATAAATTTCTCTCTTCTGATCCTTGTCATATCACTCAAAAGAGGCTTGATTTTTAGAGCTTTCACTTAAATTTTCATAAAAGTTGTAAATCTCATCAAGAGTTTTCTTCATAAAAGCTCCTCCATATATAGAATTCAACTATATTCTTATGTTGTTTTAATAATTCATCATAAAATTTTTTATTGAGTTGTCACTTAGGTATAGCATTATGAGGATACTTTATAAGTAAATTTTTCATGTCTCATGTATAGTTTCTCTTGGCCTTTGAGTAAAACTTCATATATGTTTTCTCATATTTTGAATTTTTCTTTAAAAATATATTTTTTAAAAAAGTGTATGTTCTATATCTTTTCAACTAGTTAATTTTTCTATCTAATGTGGATAGTCAATAACTAACTTTGTCCCTAAGTGTATGAGGAAATAATTTCATCTTAATAATTTTTGGTATAACTTTTTGAGGGAGATTAACTAAATTATAGATGATAAGTCCTCATTATCATAAATTAATAATTAATTAATAATATATTTTAAGTCTTAAATAATAATAAATAGAGTAATATTTATTTTAAATGATGAAAAAGTGATTTTTAGTTAGTTAATGTGATTTTTTGGTCCATTATGTGATTTTATGTGAATTTTTATAATTTTTATAATCTTATTTTTGATAGAAATGAAGAGAAATATAATAGTCAATTTAGGATTTAGGATTTAGGGTTTTTTTATTTTTTGTTTTTAGGGCCTTTATACTTTGGGCCAAACTTCCCAAAGGTCACCCTCTCGGTACTTCACACACCCTATTACATTGGCTGGATAATTGTCTTGGGCCGAACTTTTTAGAAGGTCACATGTTGATTTGGAGTTGGGTGCCTCCTTGATTAGCTTTTTTGGTGCCACTTGTGCCTTGCAGCACGGCGGCGGAGGGGTGCCTCTCGGCAAGGCATTTGGAGATGGGTGCCATGTGTGCCTCACAACATGGTGGTAGAGTGGTGCCTCTTGGCACATTTTTTTGGAGGTTCGTACCATGTGCTTGGCGATAACATAGTGATGCCTTTCAACACATGCGAAGTGGGTGCCTCTCGGCTTGTGCATGTGTACTCGGGGACTACCCGGGGACTTTTTAGGGAGGTCACCCATTCGGGGAGTGCTCTCACTTGAGCACGCTGAACTACAGGGTTTTCTTTTCTACTCCATGAGGACTCACCCACTTGTGGGGGTAGGGTTTAGGGTTTGTTTTTTTTAAAAGGAAATCTGCATTGATGAACATAGTTGATACACATGAGTGACTCTCTTTTGTAGAGTCCTAAGGAGAGGGGGTTGAGGCCCAATGATGCAAGATGGGGCAAGAACCCCCTGTACCTGATCAATGAAACTCAAGACCCAGGATGAGGTAGTCGGACTGATCTGATAAGAATGTTTGGACCTTAGACTCTAGGTTTGACCACATAACCTAAGCACAGGCAGGCGTACCAATATACACGATCAACCCAGAACAACTCGGGGAAACACTCGACGATGGTAACTGTGAGGCCCTCTTGGTCCACGTCCGAACAGATGGCAGAACAGTCGTTGTAAGGCAGCCTAAGGCTACAGCTCACGAATGGTGATGAATCTAGCCCAGCGTTGGAAGTCACGATCCGATAACCATCCTATCCTATCTATGTTCTCTTGATAGCGGTAGAGACGAGCCAAGAAAACCCTTCGAGAGATAATTAAACTTAAGAGGAAGAGGTACAGAGCTAACCTTCGGGGCTGTGTAGCCCAACGGGTCGTGACGGAGCGGAGATTCGACGAAGGTAGAGACGTCCAGTGAAGAGCAATGCTTAGTGTCGACGGTCGGTCCTGGTCGAGAGTCGCAGAAGTCGTTGTCGTAAGGCTTGGCACGGTCGGCGTGGGCGTGGGCCCACTGGTGGGCCAAAGGGTACGCTAGCAGGCGTGGGCCCACTGGTGGGCCAAAGGGTACGCTGGTGGGCCAAAGGGTACGCTAGCAGGCGTGGGCCCACTGGTGGGCCGAAGGGCACGCTAGCGGGCGAGGGCCCGCTGGTGAGCAGAAGGGCACGCTAGAGGGCGAGGGCCCGCTGGTGAGCCGAAGGGCACGCTAGCGGGTGCGTGCGGCAAGCCGCGCGGCGGTCTTAGGGCACGCGAGCGGCGGCGCCGGGTGGGCGCGCGGGCCGCAGGAACCGGCGCGCGGGGCGCGCGCGGCGGCGGCGCTTCGGCGGGTATGCCAAGCGTCAGCGGCGCTTCGGCGGAAAGGCCGAGCGTCAGCGGCGCTTCGGCGGGAAGGCCGAGCGTCAGTGGCGCTTCGCCGGGAATGCCGAACGTCAGCGGCTCTTCGCCGGGAATGCCGAACGTCAGCGGCGCTTCGGCGGGAAGGCCGAGCGTCGGTGGTTGGGCGGAAACCCAATCGTCGCCGGAAGGGTCGGCCTTCTCTGGCGGCGCCGGGAAGCGGAGCAGAGGAAGGAGACGATCCGGCCGACGATACCAGGGAGGGTTGAGCTCTCCTGGTCTAAGCGGCACCGGAAACGGCGCGACGGCGGCGGATCGTCGGGAAACTCCGGCGGGGGCCTGTGCGGAGCTTGGACTGGATCTGGCTCGTCGGCACGGCAGCAGGGTCTCTTCCGACGTCGGCGGCAGGTCGGCGTTCGTCGGCGAACGGCCAGCGACTGGGCGGAGCGGCGGAGGGCGGCTCCGGCGAGTTTATGGTGGAGTTCCGGAGGAAGAGGCGGCAGTCGAACCAGGAGTCGAGAGACTCCGGCGGAGTGCTCGGCGACGGCTCGTAGCGAGGCGAAGCGAGCCCCTTTCGTCACGACGGCGTGACGGGGTTCCAGCAGAGGCGGCGGCGGCTGCAGCGGCAACCGCGACCGTTTCGTCCGGTGACGGCGGCGAGTTCCCGGGCGGCAATGAGATGGCCGGCGGCGGCAGTGGTCTCAGGCGGCGGCGGGACTTCTCGGGCAGCAGCGTCACGAGGAACGAAGTCCTCGAAGGGGGTATCGACGGCCTTCCTCTTCCTCCCTTCCATATCCTAGATCACGGAGAAGGTACTCACAAAACGATAATCTCTCTCAAAAATACGGCGCTCTCTTGAGGGGGGTCCTACCTCCCCTTATATGGGGGCCCACAAGTGGGCTAAGGGGAGGTGGGCCCACTTGAGGCCCTCAAGCCCATAAGCCACAAAGGCTACAAAGGGGCTTATTGGGCCTCTTAAAGAGAGACCCAATAAGCTCTCCTAAAAGGAGAAAGAGGAGGGCCCTCTTACGGTGCTTAAGTGGGCCTCAAATGAAGACCGAAATAAGCCCCAAAAGAGGCCCAAAAAAGAAAGACACATAGGTCCCCCCCCCCTTAGGGTTTTAATTGGGCCTCAAAGAAAGACCTAATAAAACCCTAAAGAAAGGGAGACAAACAACAACACACACACACACATAAAATTGGGCCCGTTAACACACAAACATGAGGCCCAACAAGTCAACGTGAAAATACCAAGAAAGATAAGGGTGAGCTCGAGCTCGTCGTTGTCACGGAGGTGGAATATCGTCCTCCCGAAGGGCTAGGCCATGTAGCGAAAGCTAGGCTCCTTCATCTTCGCACGTCGATCGGGCTGAACTCGGACTGCTGGTGTCTCTTGAGCTGATGGAGACGAGTCCCGCTCGCCATCACCCAATCTCTTGAGATACATCCTTAGAGTGGCTGCCCTCTTTTGTTGGCAGCAGCTCTGGGCTTGTTCGGAGGAATCCTTTGCCTATTTCCCCAAATCCTCCTATTCTACATTCATAGGCCTTGGGAGTCACATTGGGATCCCTACCATTCAGTCTTTACTACTATGCTTAATCCCACAGGTCCCTCCCCCTTTTGGCCAAACCATATGGGGTCCCCTTTTCTCCTTCTTCTGCCTTTTTTTTTTTTGGATAGGTGAGTGTCTAGGTGAAATGGGTAGCCTTTTCCTCATGGATTTACCCCATTCCTCCTTCCATACCCTTTCTTTCTCTTTTTTTTTTTTTTTTTGGTAGGGGAGGATTAGGGACTTACTGACTTTTGACACTTTCACTCCATTTCCCTAGACTTTCTTGCACTGCCTCCTCTTTCTTCTTCTTCTTTTTTTTCTTTTTTCACTAGAGGTTTGTTGTTGTTGGGGGGGGGGGGGGCATTGGACTTGCACTACAATACTTGTTTGGTCAGTTTGCCAATGTTCCTTGCCTCCAGCCCATTTCTGATGTATTTGGGAGGATCTAGGGAGAACCAAGTTAAGTGCATCTCCATTCGGCCTCCTCTGTTACCTGCAAAATGGGTTCTCCACACATAATTCAATATCTACTGAGAGAGGGACCTCGCCCCTTCCATAAGGATCTCACAATCCTCATTAGAATGATCTTTTCCATCAATGGAATGGAGCTTCATGTTGGTTGTTTGTGGGATTGATGTCCTTCTTTAGACCTTCTCATTGCCTTCTAGTCTGATTTACGTACATAGGGTCCATGCCTGTCCTCACCGAAAGTGATGGAGGCGCCATCTGTCCAATTTGCACATGCCTCTAACTTCCCATGAAAGTTCTTGTAAGTTACTGAAAGATCTCTCCACCTGTTGTCTGGCTCCTTACTTCTAACCTGGTGGCTTATCTTGCAAACCACATGTAGATTGTCTAAAATATGATGTCACCATTTGTTTAACTTCCATACATTACTAAAGACAATGGATGCTAAAGATAATGAATTCATTTCTATTTCAATAAAATTTAAACGGAGAGAGGCACATAACATAAGTCCATCAACCATAGCCCTGCACTTCGCCACCATATTGGTGTCATTCCCGTATGCATTCTAAAACACATTGAGTACCTCAGTGTTTAGGGTTTTTTATTTTTTTTGGGTTAAGGTTTGATTATATTGATGTGGAGAAATGTTTATCCCCGAGCTTGATACGTGAGATCTAGGGGAGACAAGAGATAGCTCTATTTGGAAAGTGATAAATAAAAGATAAAGTGGTAGGCGCGACCAAGGTTGATCATTTCGGTTGAGACTGTTGCGAAATCCTCCCATCCATAGTGCAAGGATAGTTTTGTGTTGGTAGTGCTGTGTAGGCCAAGTTGTGTGCTGGTTGGGGATTTTTTTTTTTTGAAATGAAAATTTTGATTTAATGATAGAAGTTTCACCTCATTCTAAGGTTACATGAGTGGGATCTCATTCGCACAAAGGACGAGGACGAGATGGAGGATTATAGACCTCTTTTGAAGGGAGGATGTGACAATAGTGTATTTGTAGTTTTTTTTTAATTTTTCTTACTCAGCTCAAAATGTTTGAAGAAGGTGGTTGATTTGCATTGGGCTAGAAGAGTCATTTAGTTCATGAAGTTGAAAGATCCGCTCAATAGTAGTAGGGAGTATAGCCCTCCGTGTTGTGCACCATGAGGTGTTTCTACAAGACAAGAGTTTGCTACAATAAGTGGTTCTAAGAAATAAATAAAATGATGTAAAGTGGTGAGAAAAGAATTGTTGGGGCATTGAGGAGGACATAATTATGCTGGAGCATGACAATAAGCCCAAATATGAACTTGCCTTCCTAGTGTTGTATGCATTTAGTCCCTCTTACCAAGATCTTGCTAGTACCATTAGTTGCCGTACTTTTTCTAAGTGGGTAAGGGACCTTTCACCCCACAAAGAATGGCTTGCTCTCTCTTTTTAACTCTTTTTGTTTCTCTTATTCTCTCTCTATTTTTTTTTTTTTTTTTTTTTTGAGGGCCTCTTCTCTCACCCTCCACTAATACCCATGATTTTTGTGTACAAGGGTAATTCCCTTTGGAGTATTAGGCTAGTGATTATGGGAAGGGAAGTAGGTTGCCTCTCTTTTTTTTTTTTTTTTTTTTTTTTGAGGGCCTCTTCCTTCAACCTCCACTAATTGCCTATGATTTTGTGTATAGTGGGCTAGTGATTCTGGGAATAGAAGTAGGCTACCTCTTTTATTTTTTTTGGAGAGAGAAAGAGAGGGAGAAAGAAATAGAGAAATCGAGAGAGAGAGAGAGAGGAGAGAGGGTCAATCCTATAGATATAGATCCTTACCTTCTCATGGGTTCAAGCTAGCTGATGGTACTAATGAGATCTTGAGAGAGGTGCTAGGGTGGCGATTCACAACTAGTTTGATAGGTCTAATGTGCTATAGACTTATAGTTCAAAAGTGGACAGATGTCAACATGTGTTGATAGTTCTGTGTGTCCTCACTACTTGAAGGTGATAGATAGTAGATGTGAGGTGATTATGAGGAGAGTAATGATTGGAAGTGGTGTACTCAGGTAAATTACAATGTGCCTTGTCGTCCGTCTTGTATTGATGTCGATGTTGAATTGCTCCAAGCTATATGCCACTACCTAGGTGTGGTAGGTAGAAGCTTTTGCCCAATGCATAGTGCTGGTATGCCGAGTCATTCTAAGCGGTGTCTACCTCGAGCTTCTACAAGCATATCTTGCCAATAGGTGAAAACAAATCTTAGACAGGTGCATACTGTATGTGTAGCAAGTGCATCTGTAGCCTGATTCCCCTCGCGTAGTTGGTGTGTGATGGCACTGATCCTCTCACGACAACGCATGATATCCATCTAGGTGCTGTTGAGTCACCAATGGGAGTAAGTACCTACACGCAACATTTCAACTAACACTCTAGAGTCGGATTCTAGGACGATACCATGAAGGTTGTATTCCTCACAGAGGAGCAAACCAACGTGGATCGCCATAGCCTCCGCTGCTGTGTAAGTTTGAATGTCGTAATAGTGAGAAAAAATAAAGATAATACTCCTTGTATGGTCTCGTAAGATGCCTCCTCCCCTTGCAGGTCTAGGGTTCCCACGTGCTGCCCCGTCCACATTGAGCTTCAAGTGTCCTATTGGCGGTGGTCTCCAATAGACGGTACACATAGTGATCTGTGTATAGGTCCGTAAGGTTGGAATTCCCCAAGTCTTGAGTGCCTCACAGACAGAGGCCGAGCATGTCGCAACAGGTGACATTAGAGGATGGGCACTCTGCAGCCATTGTGTGACGTTCCTCATAATATTTAGGGCACGCATCGGCTGTCTTAAAAAATGAGAGAGATTTCGCCCCTTCCATATCTCCCATAACATGTACGCTATAGAAATATGTAGATAGAGGCTACCCCTAGAGCTCTGCGATGAATCAAAGACTCTCTTAAAGATCTCTAGGGGTGTAAGAGATGGAGGATGATGAAATAGGGGTGACTAATTCCTTAAGAGTTGATTCCAACATTCTGTAGCAACGACATTGACGATCCAAAAATAATGGTAATTTTCCAGGCCGTTGCTAGGGATGTATTGCATAACTCTTGTTTATTTTCTTTTTGCCGATTTTTATTAGAAAAAGGGAACGAAAAGAAGCACGGCAAGGACTGGAGCATCCTGAAGGAGGGTAACAGTTACTAACTTTTTCCCTCGAATTTATTGATTTTTATGCATGGTAGAAGATCTTTGCATCCAAGGCTAGAAAATTCTTTCATTATTTCATTCAAAAATAAAAATTCGAAAGAAAAAAATAATTTTGATAGATCCTGAAGGAAGTACAGATCAAACTGAGAACAATCCTATGGCCATGAAAAATTATTATATCCCTGATTCATTTCAACAAGCATCTAATATTAGAGTCCCATTAGCACCCAATGTTAAATTCGAAATAAATCCAAGAAATTTTCAAATGCTCCCTAATTTTCATGGATTGCCTTTAGAGGAACCTCATTAGCACTTAGAAAAATTTCATATGGTCTGTGATTTAGTTAATCTCCCTCAAATTACACCGAAAATTATTAAGATGAAATTATTTCCTCATACACTTAGGGAGAAAGCTAGCCATTGGCTATCCACCTTAGATAGAGAATTAACTAGCTAGAAAGACATAGAACAGACCTTTCTTCAAAAATTTTATCCCTTAGGAAAAACCCAAAATATGAGAAAACATAGATGGAGTTTTTCTCAAAGACCAGGAGAAACTTTACATGAGACATGGGAAACATTCAAAGATTTACTTAGAAAGTGTCCTCATCATGCTATACCCAAGTGGCAGCTCAATAGAATTTTTTATGATGGATTATTAGAACAACATAGAAATATGGTTGATTCTATATGTGGAGGAACTTTTATGGAGAAAACTCCTGATGAGATTTACAGTCTTTATGAGAATTTAAGTGAAAATTCGAGAGATCAAGCCTCTTTTGAATTATATGATAGGGATAAGAAGAGAGGAATTTATGAATTGCATCATGATGATGATTCTAAACTTAGAAATGAGGTTAATCAAATTAATCAAAGATTAGAAAAAAATGATTTACTTATTGATAATATTAGAAAGCCTTTTAACCCTCAACTTAATTCGAATAGTACATGTCCTATGTATGGTGAAAATGATTATTCTGAATTTCAATGTTATAATTTAGATCAATCATTTCACCCTATGCAAGAACAAGTGCAAGTAGCTCACAGTTTTAATAGAAATAGGGAACCTTTTTCAAATTCTTATAATCCTAATTGGAGGAATAATTTTTCATGGAGAGACCCAAATAATATTCAAAATCCAGAAGCACTTAGACTCAATTCAAACTCTGAATTTCGTCCAAAACAAGAAAACAGATTTCAAAAAAATCAGCCCTCTCAAACCCAACCTGATACTATGGAAATGATGCAGCAAATGAGCCAAATGATGCAACAAACTATAAATCAAATGATGCAACAAACTATGAATCAAATGATGCAGCACCAGAAACAAATTATAGAGGCCCTTGGGAATAAGAGAGAAGAGGGACAGCTACCTAATAAGCCCATAGAAAATCTAGGGAACCGCCCAACAATAGGATTTCAGCAAGAGGAGTCTAGTAGTATGAATCTAGGAAAAAACCCACGAAATGAAAATGTTAGGACAGTGAATGCATTAAGGAGTGGTAAGATCTTACCTGATCCTTATCCCCAAATATTAGAAGAAAAAGAAAACGTGGACAACCCAAAACAAAATCAAATAGGAGTAGAAGAGGATTTTATAGATTCTACCAAAGAAATTTCGAAAGAGAGGACAACCATTTTATTTCCTAAAGCTCTAGAGCCTAGACAAAGAAAGAAAAAGGAACACAATGAAGAAATAAAGAAAATTTTATAAGATGTGAAAATTAGTCTTCCTTTACTCACTGCCATTGAACATATTCCTGAATATGCTAGAGTTTTGAAAGAAATGTGTACACCAAAAAGGGCACCTAGAGTAGAAAAATTATCTATGCATGCTAGTGCATTATTATTAAATCAATTACCATATAAATTGAGAGATACAAGTGCCCCTTTAATTTTGTATGATATTAGTGGATTCATTTTTCATAATGCATTACTTGACACCGGTGTTAGTATTAATTTATTACCTAAAAGTATTTGTGATAAATTTAATATTTCTGATCTTAAACCTTCTACTGTTACCTTACAATTTGCTGATAGATCCATAAAACATCCTAAAGGTTTTTTAGAAAATGTGATAGTGACAGTTAAAGGGTGTAAATTTCCAGTTGATTTTGTAGTGCTGGAAATGGATTTTAATGGACAGTTTTATGATACGCCAATCATCCTAGGGAGACCATTTTTGCATACAGCAAAGATGAATATTGATTTTCCCACAGGTATTGTGAAAATTTCATGTGGAGATCAATCAGTAGAAATTAAAATTTTTGAGGTACCAAATGATCTTAAGAAATCACAAGTATATGATTGTCATACCATAGATCTTCTAGATGATTTTGATGATCCAGATGTTATTGATGACTGTGTGCTGGAAGAATTAGAGGAAATAGAGAATATAAATTTAGGAGAAAAGAAAGAGGAAGATCATCTGAATTTAGAGTTGAAACCCCTTCCCTCTAGTTTAAAATATATGTTTTTGGAGGAAAATAATTCATTTCCTGTTATTATTGCAGCTGATTTGAGTGATGAACAGGAAGAAGAATTATTAGATGTACTTCGAAAAAATAAGAAGGCTATGGGCTGGAAAATGGACGATCTAAGGGGCATTGATATGAGTGTATGCATGCATAGTATATATCTAGAGGAGGGGGCCAGAACTAGCAGGGAACCACAACGAAGATTAAATCCTAACATGATGGAAATTGTAAAAAAAGAAATTTTAAAGTGGCTGGCTACTGATATTATTTATCCTATTTTAGATAGCAAATGGGTTAGTCCTACACAAGTAGTGCCAAAAAAATCAGGGATCACGGTTATAAAAAACGAAAATGAGGATGAAATACAAACAAGATTAACTACCGGTTGGAGAGTTTGTATTGATTATAGAAAATTAAATTCAGTTACTAGAAAAGATCATTTTCCCCTACCATTTACTTATCAAATTCTAGAAAAATTAGCTGGAAAAAACTTTTTTTGTTTTCTAGATGGATACTTTGGTTATAATCAAATTTATATAAACCCTTTAGATCAAGAAAAAACAACTTTCACTTGTCCATTTGGTACTTTTGCTTTTAAACGCATGCCTTTTAGTTTGTGTAATGCTCCAGCCACATTTCAAAGATGTATGCTGTCTATTTTTTCTGATATGATTGAAAAATGCATGGAAATTTTTATGGACGATTTTTCTGTTTTTGGTGAATCATTTGATGAATGCTTAAATCATTTACAGCATGTACTTGAGAAATGCATAGAGAAAAAATTAGTTTTGAGTTGGGAGAAATCACATTTTATGGTTAAAGAGGGAGTTGTGTTGGGTCATATTGTGAGTAAAAGGGGTTTAGAGGTGGATAGAGCAAAAATTGATATTATATCTAAAATGAAACTTCCAAATTTAGTAAAACAGATTAGATCTTTCTTGGGTCATGCAGGTTATTACAGAAAATTTATTCAAGATTTTTCGAAGATTTCTAAACCTCTCACCATGCTATTATCTAAAGATGTGCCTTTCAATTTTGATGAGAAATGTTTTGAGTCTTTTTCCGAAATAAAAAGATTACTTACTGAGGCACCCATTTTACAAGCTCCTGATTGGTCCCTTCCCTTTGAAATAATGTGTGATGCATCAAATTATGCAGTGGGGGCCGTTCTAGGACAAACAAAAGAGTCAAAACCCATAGTAATTTCATATGCTGGTAAAACTATATCCGATGCTCAATTAAATTATACCACGACTGAAAAAGAGTTGTTAGCTATAGTATTTTCGTTAGAAAGGTTTAGATCATATATTTTGGGAGCTAAAATTATTATTTATACTGATCATGCAGCATTAAAATATCTGTTAAATAAGAAAGATGCAAAGCCACATTTATTAAGATGGATTTTATTGTTGTAGGAATTTGACTTAGAAATAAAAGATAAAAAATGTTTCGAGAATGCTGTTGCTGACCATCTTTCTAGATTAAGTGACACATGAATAAATACAGCACCTTTACAAGACGCATTTCCAGATGAACAATTGATGGCAGCTCAACATCAACCATCACCATGGTATGCACATATTGTTAATTTTCTGGTTTCTAGAAAAATTCCAGAATAGTAGGATAAGAATAGAAAAAATTATTTCTTTTCTAAGATTAGAAATTATTTTTGGTATGATCCTGATTTATACTACTTGGGCAATGATCAAATTTTAAGGAGATGTGTTCTTGAAGAAGAATACTATACCATTATTAATATGTGCCATTCATCTAACTGTGGAGGACACTTCTCTGGACGAAAAACAGCTACAAAATTTTTTCAGTGTGGTTTTTATTGGCCTACAATCATTAGAGATTCTATAGAATTTAGTAGAACATGTATTTCATCCCAATCTATAGGTAACATGAGTAAAAAAGATGAAATGCCCATGAGTAACATGTTAGTAGTCGAAATTTTTGATGTATGGGGAATAGATTTTATGGGTCCCTTCCCATCAGCTGAAAAATATGAATATATTTTGCTTGCTGTTGATTATGTGTCGAAGTGGGTGGAAGCTATTCCTACTAGAACTAATGATCATAAAATCGTGATGAAATTTGTGCAGGAAAATATTTTTTCGAGATTTGGATGTCCTAGAGTGATTATTAGTGATGGAGGAACACATTTTACAAATAAAAATTTCAGAGAACTGTTGAAAAAGAATGGAGTACACTATAGAGTAGCCACTCCATATCATCCCCAAACAAATGGGCAAGCTGAAGTAGCAAATAGGGAAATTCAGAGAATTTTGAGAAAAATAGTTAAACCAGATAGGAAAGATTGGCCCACGAAATTACAAGATGCATTATGGGCTTATAGAACATCTTATAAAAATCCCATAGGTATGTCCCCATTTCGTCTCATTTTTGAAAAGCCATGTCATCTTCCTGTGGAAATAGAGCATAAAGCATTATGGGCTATAAAAAATTTATGGATGAAAAATCAGCTGGTGGGCATAGAATTTTTCAGTTACATGAACTAGAGGAGTTGAGGAATGAAGCTTATGAAAATCATAGAATATATAAAGAAAAAACTAAAACTTTTCATGATAAATACATTAGCAGAAATTTTTTTGATGTTGGACAAAAAGTGTGGTTATATGATTCTAGGCTGAAATTATTCCTAGAAAAATTAAAATCAAAATGGAAAGGGCCTTATGTGGTGGAAGAGACATATGATCATGGGGCTGTAATGATTAAAGATCCTAAAAGTGATCATAACTTTAAGGTAAATGGACAGCGGCTTAAACATTACATAGAACATGAACGCCTTGCAGAAAAAGAAATTTTATTACTAAAAGAAATTCAAGAGTAAGATCAAGGAGTCCAGCTGGAGACATTAAATTCAGCGCTACATGGGAGGCAACCCATGGTTTTTATTTCATTTTGTTTGATTTTTTTTTAAGCTCTGTTTTTCTTAAAATTTCGCAGTACTTGTTTCTGTATTTGTTTTTTCGAAAAAGTGCAGGAGGAGGCGTGTAAGACGAAGTAGAAAATTAAAAACGAGGTTGAGGTGATGTCTTTCGGAGCTTTATCATTTATGACAACATTTTTAATGCTAAACTTTGCATATATGCATGCTTCACTTGAAAATTATATTTTCTGCATATTCTGTTTCGATTTTTCTGTGTCATTGAGGACAATGTCATTTTTAAGTTGGGGGGTGAAGTATTCATTATTAATTTATGCTGTAGGACGATTAAGAAAATGTGTTTGCATTTTATTCAACTTAGAACAGCAACTAAAAAAATAAAAAATAAAAAAAGATCGCCGAATTCGGAAAAACTGCAACATCTATTTTCTGGTTTTCTGTCAAGAACAACGGACTGTCAAAAACAGCAGACGAAAAAATAACCCGAAATTTGAAATTATAGAGACCCTTTTCTCACATTTCAATCCCCTAGACATATATTACTGAAATTCAAAATTACAGTTATAAAGAAGATAGTTTTGATTTATTTTTGACAAATTTTTTGCTGCTAAAATAGAACTAAAAACAGAAAACAGAACTGTCAAAACTATCTAATTTACAAATTTCTTACATCATATTGCATGCATGAAAAATTAAATCAATTAGATTGATTGATACCAAAAGATACTAGGAAGATTATTATTGAGTCAAAAGAATGATCTAGTAGCATGAAATGTTGGAATACTCCTTGGATACATGATAGATAATACGGATTTGATTTTACAGATTTTCACTTCATGATCTTGATGGATAATATTTACTTGATGTGAAAATTTGATTGATCATTTGAGTTTAATGAAGATTTTTGCACCCTGATCTATAGGACTTGTGAGGAGAAATCACTTATTTCGAAAAAAAAAAGAAAAAAAAAAGAGAGAGCAATGTGAAAAATCTAGAAACGAAGAGTACACATGGAGGGTGTGAGACATCATTCTCATTGTCGAAAATCGTGTATAGAAAAACACTTACTGCAAAATAAGTGGATAAAGTGAAAGCCCTGAAAATGAAGAGTACACATGGAGGGTGTGAGACATCATTCTTATTGTCGAAATTTATCTACAAGAAAAGCTACTTATCCACTATATATAAAGAAAGAAGAAATATAGTGCAAACTTCAAAAATCAAGCCATAGAAAAAGGGAAATGTAGGATCAATATTATTCTTAGATGAGTATTGATAATTGGAACATCTTGTAAATACATCTATGAGTGAAGAAGTGATAAAGATGTGAATAGAAGAAGTGAAGTCTAGATTGTTATTCCAATGAGTGTTTAAACATTTAAGTGCTTGACATCATTCTTAAATACTTGATATAAGAATCCAAAGTGTCTAAAGGTGCATCATTTCTAATTGTATTTTTTTTTTCTTTCTGTATTGAAATATGATGTTTGAGATTTGTAAATTTTTATTTTTGTAATTCCATTGCTAAGGGACTAGCAATGATTTAAGTTGGGGGGTGTGATAAGTCTTCATTATCATGAGTTAATAATTAGTAAATAATATAGTTTTAGGCTTAACTCATGATAAATAGACTTATATTTGTGTTAAAGTGTGAAAAGTGGTTTTCAGTTGATTAATGTGATTTTTTTGGATAATTATGTGATTTTATACGAATTTATATGATTTTTACAATCTTACTTTTGAGATAAATGAAGAAAAAGATATAAAACTAAAATATTGCAAAATGGGGGGAATCCGCCGGCTAGTCGGGCCTACAAGCGGGACGGAAGCTCAGTCGGGGAGTAGCCGCGAGCAGGGGCTCGAGCGGCTTGGACCGATAGGGGCACGTGTGCGCGCCACTCCCCTTCCATGTCACCGGTGGCCAGCCGGCTGTGGGGCAAGGAGTGGTCGTACACGCGAGAGAAGGGACTTTGCTTACAAAGCTAACATTACTATATATTCGTCTGAAAAATCGGCGCACAATCGATGTGGGACTAAACCCATGTCACACCTTCCTCAGAAGGGGCGGACAACCGGCGCGGGTTCGAATCCTCTCATAGTAAAAATTCATATATTTTTATCTGATTATCGCGACTTTCCTGCAGATCGCCAGTGAAGGATTAAGCAACCAAAATCGCTGGATCATCGGCGAAAATCTCGTCAACGCGATTCGCGGAGCATTGCTACTAAAATTGCTGAACGATTCGCGATAAAAGGATCGCGAATCCATCGAGTAAATCATCTCCGATTGATCGACGAACAAGCCGTCGTCGGGAAGAGGACGATTCGCCGGGAGACGAGTCGCCACCTCCTGAGAGCGTACCAGATGCGATGAAGAGCCTCCTCTTGCTGCGTAGACCTGAGGATGAAGCTCCCTGACACGCGCCCCACCTCCATTCAGCTCCTCTTCGTCGGGTGACAGCCGCCGGAGAGCCGCAAAGTTGCCATTTTTCTGCTCCGCCGGGTGACAGCCGCCGGAGACGACTCAGCGACCCATTTCATTCATCTCTAGACTTCGCGAGAAGATCTAGAGATTGCCCACGTCGTCTTTGTCCAAGGAGAGCCTTCGAGGCTGTGGACACTGCACAACGATCCTCCCGAATGCTCAGGATTCCAGTGCATCACCGACGCATCGCCGTCGCGACGCCAGAACTCTGTTTTCCTGCTTTCAACTTACTTTATGCTTCATTTAGTGATAGTTTTTGTGATTTTAATTTACCAAAATATACTTTGTTCTATTACGATTCTTCCGGCTTTTACATATCTTAATTTGATTAATTAAATCGTCTGTAATCGCTTACGTAAGAATCGCCGGGTGGAACTCTATTTCCGCCCGATTCGCGTTCGCCGGGTGCTGACGTCATCCTGACGCCCACACCCTTATTTCCCTTTTTCGTGAATTTTAAATATATTTCCTTTTTATTTCCTAGTATAAAATTCATAGAAAATCGTATTCATTGAGAAAAATTCTAAATAATTACTAAATATTATATTACATCCCTGTGATCGACTTGGAAAATTATCGCTATTTTTGGAATTTTTATTGAATTATAATTGATATATTTATTTAGAAATACTTCTAAATATCCGAAAATTCGTATTTTCTAGTTTTATAAATTTTATATTTGCGTGATTTAATATACAACGACTGAGTCACTTCACCCGGACATTGGGGCAGTCAATGGGTGGAACGGCCGCCTTGAGAACGGTAGTGATTCGCCGTTGGCCGACGTCCCCTCGGTTTCCGCAAACGAGGGAATGGCTCTTGGCGCCATTCCCTCGCTCTGCGGTAAAGGGGAGAGGGCACGTGGCATCGTCTCCCCTGACCTCACCATTGATCGTGAGATTAATGGTGAGGATCGACAAGAGGAAAAGGCCGGTGATGTGGGGGCGGTGTCAGCTAATGTGGACTCGTCAGCTTCGGTCCTTGATCTGACCGTTAATCTTGCGATCAACGGACATGAGGGAGCCGAGATAAAGGCGCCGCATTCTGCTGATGCCGTTACCTTGGTCCTTGTACCCATGGCGTCCCCCCCAGCGGAGGCTGACACGGACTCGTCAGCTTCCAGAAAAAAGGCGTCAGGTGGCGGCTTTTCCTCGGAATTGGCTCTTCATCATTTGACCGTTGATCTTGAGATCAACCGACAGGAGGAAGCCGAGATAAAGGCGCCACATTCTGCCGACGCCGTCACCTCGGTCTTGACAGCCAACGCGTCCCCGCTAGCGGGGGCTGACGGGGGCGGCGCCACTATGGTGGCGGCAGCACTCGTTCAGGCTGAGGCAGCAACACTCAAGGCCGCGAAACCCAAGGATATCCGGGCCCAAGCGCATGTGCGGCCCGTTATTGCCAAAGTAAGACCTGTGGGGGCAGAGCCAATCCAGATCCAAACTCAAGCCCCACTCATACTAACCCAGCCCACACAAATTCCTAATATGTCGGCCCAGCCCACTCAAACCTTAGCCCAGACTTGGGCCCAGTGACTTACAAGAACACAGCCCACTCCTACAACTCAGAACACACACCGAGCTCCATTACTCCCTATGTACACTACGGACTTCTTACCACGAGGTTATATTGAGGAAGAAGGAATGAGAATAGTCTCATTCTCTTCGAACGAGGTCTCTCAACTAGCTGAGGCATTCCAGTTTACATTGATTGGATGTTTTACCACAAAACGTCTCCATTTAGATGACATACAAAAAATATATTTGGCCCCTGGACATTTTCAGGGAAATGTAGTCATTGGTGCTCGTGATTACTAGAGTGTCTTCATCTGATTCGAGCTCGAGGCTGACTATCGGAAAGCCTAGAGCTGGACCACATGGGAGATTCAAAATGCCATTATGTACACTCATAGATGGACCCCATATCTTGACGGCACCTCTCGAGGGAAACAACCCCACTCCACTTCAGCTTGGATAGGTTTTCCGAGTTTGTTAGCACATTTATTCATGCCCAAGGCACTTGAGTCCTTGGCAAATGCAGTCGGAACATTTATACGCCTAGATCCAGGTGTTAAAATGTTCAATCGTCCAGGATATGCCCGCGTATGTGTCGAGTTAGACCTCTTAGCCCCCCTTCAGCATATGATTATTGTGTAGAATGGGGATGAGAAAATCTACCAAAATATTATATATGAGAGATTACCTCATTTCTGCACACATTGCACGGTTTTTGGACACACTATTCACACATGTCGACAAAAAAATACTTCATCCCGACCCCTCTCATCCCGACCCCTCTCATATGGGGGTCTACTTCTCTTCACTTACCACCCCTCTCATATGACAACTATATTGTTGAGGCAGGAAAGACTACATCTAGTCGTCATCCTACACCGACCTCACATATTTCATCCCAACCATCAACATTCCAGGCTAGTACCCTACTGACAGGTTCTCACAAGACACCTCCACCTACTCCAGCGACACATTCCATTCCTCGAGCGTCCACTTCCACCCGTAAAGGGAGGAAGATGGTAGCACGAGCATCACCTCTTGTCTCAGTAGACATAGGAAAGATAGCCCAGACGTCGAATGCTTTCGATGCTCTCAGTACTTTGATTGAGGAGACTGATAGTGTTCCCACTATAGGGAAAGGCGACAGCCCACGAGTTCGACGATGCTCCCCTAAATGGGGAATTACTACTACTACTACTTTACCTTCGACCAGCCTCTCTCCATCCACTAGACTTCCTAAACCTATTACTTCTATGACGTCAACTAGCCCCACTTTACCATAAAAAAAATTACACCCGCTCTAGTCACCCGTCCTCCATCACCTATTCGCAACCCAATACCTAGCATCGCACCCTCCCACACCACACCTTGCACATCCTCTCAGCCCCCTCCATCACCTGATGCGGTCCTTGATATGACCCCAATAGACACCTCCCCATTAGACCCCCCATGCCTTTCCCCTTCTGATCCCCCTTCTCTTCCACCCCACCCTCCGGATCCTCCTTTGACCACACCTCTAGAGACCTTGACAGAGAGCGATCCTAGACAGGGCTTGGAGACTGATGACATTTTAGCGAGCCCTAGTAGGGGAGAATGCTCGACAAATCGTCGAGTCATCTCCCTATCATCTTCAAGGGCAGACACTAGTGGGCGCTCTACATCGAGTGCTAAGGACTTAGGATCTGAGACATCATCTGGCTATCCTACTAAGGGCTTTGACCCTAAGAGAGGGTACCAAACAGATGTAGTCGATAGAGCCTCACGACAACGTTCTCCCTACGTCACGAGGTCTAGGGCTCGTGGCAATGGATAGTGCCCATGATACCCAGCCTTGTTTGGAATTGTCGAGGGTTGGGCAACCTCGAAACACAGTCTCACATCGTTGAACTCATCAATAAGCGCCGACTATGCCTAGTCGGGCTTATTGAACCAATGATTCCATTAGATCATATTTATCCATTGCTTAGACACTTAGGTATGGATCACTTCCACTCTAACCCTACAAATCACATCTGGTTGTTCTGGAAGAGCCCTTACTCTCTAAAGTTACTTATTGAGGGGCCACAACATGTCACGATGAAGGTACTTGGCTCTAGCCAAGAGTTTACATTCTCTATTATTTATACTTCACATAGACACCAAGACCGTGAGACTCTTTGGGAAGACCTAGTACGATATACACAGGATTATCCCATACTAGTTGATTCTCCTTGGTTCATAGCCGGAGATTTCAACTGCGTACGTAGAGTCACTGAACGTCAAGGAGGGCGGGTCCCTCGAGCCTGTCATATGGAGATGTTTAATAATTTTATTTTTCACGCAGCTCTCATAGAGCCTCCTACTTTTGGCGAGGTCTGGATGTGGTGCAACGAGAGACAAGGAGGTGCAAGGATATATGAGTGCATCGATCGTTGTTTCACTAATAACATTGCATTAATGCAATGTCCCATATTAGTCACACTCTTACCCCGCTGTAGGTCAGATCACACGCCGATTCTTATTCTCCCTGACTCGAGAGCTAATTCCCCTAGACCTCCTTTTAGGTTTCAGAATATGTGGACTCGGCACAAAGGCTTCCAGAGCTTCGTGCGTAGTCATTGGCACGGAGATATCTCTGACTCTCCTATGGAGAACTTCAGTTACAAACTGAGGAATCTCAAACTCCACCTTAAATGATGGAACTGGCATGTATACAGAAACATACACACCCAAGTGGAGGATTTGAAGAAGGAGCTAGCAGATGTCGAGAGGCAACTGCAAGTTCAATGGAGTGACACTACTTGGGAGAGACGAGTTCGAGTGAACGAATAACTAACGGAGGCCGCGCGACGACAGGAGATATACTATCTCCAAAAATCACGCATCCAATGGTTGCATGAGGGTGATAGAAACACACGTTTCTTTCATGCCTCGATCACACATCGATCTCGATCTGATTATACATCTCTTCTAGAGGTGTATAATCATGACACATCCCGTATGCAAGAGGCAGGAATTGTGTACTTTCGTACCCTCCTTTCCTCTCAGCCAATTGAAATCTCTGAGGATATCCTCTCATCAATTCCATCTTTAGTCACCCACTAGGAGATAGAAGACATCATGACCATACCTACTAGAGAAGTGATCCGAGATGTAGTCTTCTCGATGAGTAGAAATCGAGCACCTGGACCCAATGGTTTCCTAGCTGATTTTTATACATCATGTTGGGACATAGTTGGAACAAATATAGTACATACCGTCAAGGAATTCTTCCGCCGCAAAGTCTTTCCACGAAGTTGAAAAGCCACCTTTATTATCCTCATCCCAAAGGTGACTAACCCAACCTCTTTTAGAGACTTTCGACCCATCAATCTTTGTAATATATGTTATAAGGTTGTATCTAAGATCATTACAGCATGACTGAGGACTTTCCTTGATCGGCACATATCTCTGAAGTAATGCGGATTTGTCAAGGGACGCCACATTTACGATAACATCATGTTAGTTCATGAATTAACACAGTCTCTTGATCAAGACATTCATGGTTCTAATGTTATCATCAAACTAGACATGGAAAAGGCTTTTGATAGAATCGAGTGGAAATTCCTCACTGAAGTACTTCGACGTTTTAGATTCACTGATGAGTTCATCGACTTAGTTGATGCATGCAATAGGGAGAATCACTTCTCCCTACTGGTGAATGACACTTCCACTCCTTTCTTCACTACCACACGAGGCTTATGGCAGGGTGATCTATTATCACCCACTCTCTTCATATTAGTTGAAGAAGTCCTGGGTAGAACCCTCTCTCGAGCAGTATCACGTGGACTTATTCAACCATATCATTCGAAGCGGGGTTGCCCGATCATATCACATTCGTTATTTGCCGATGACGCTATACTCTTCCTTAATAGATGTGAGGCATCTATTAAGGGACTCATGACTATTATCTCGAGCTACGAGCGGGCCATAGGTCAATTCGTTAATATCTCGAAGAGTAACTTTATAGTGGCATCTTCTACCACCATTAGCACCATACGCCGTATACAAGATATAACAAGATTTTCACGTGGACATTTGCCTTTTTATTACCTTGGATGTCTTATCTTCCTTGGATGCACTCGGATTCATTATTTTGATACCCTTCTGTGCAAGTTGAGGAAGAAACTTACCGGATGGAAACTTCAGCTTCTATCCTCAAGAGGTCGCATCCAGTTGATACGTCATGTCCTCATGAGTATGCCATTACATCTACTAGCAGTACATGAGGTACCGGATACCATTCTACAATTTGTGAGGCGGATATGTACGCTCAACTTTTTTCTCTCTCCTCACGAGAGCTTCTCTCTCATAAACGTCACATTCAAACGGCAAGATCTCTCCCATCTAACCTCAGATCATGCTGAAATTTGTTTTATTCGATTCGTAAGGTCCCATAAGAACTCCGGAGTTAAGCGTGCTCGGGTGGGAGCAGTCCTTGGATGGGTGACCTCCTTGAGAAGTCCTTGGGTATGTGCACGCGTCGCGAGGTGCCTACTCTTCATGTGCTGAAAGGCACCACTGCATTATCGTGCCGCCAGGCACATGTTACGAATCCCTCTACCACCATGCCAAGAGGCACCCAGCTCCAAAGAACGTGCTAAGAGGCACCCCTGCCACCATGCCAAGAGGCATGGCATCCATCTCACGAACAACATGCTGATAGGCACTCAGTTCCAAAGAACGTGTTGGGAGGCACCCCTGCCACCATGCTGAGAGGCACATGTTGCATCCATCTCACAAACAACGTGCCGATAGGCACTCTTCTCTGAAAAATGTGTTGGGAGGCATCAGTACCACCATGCTGAGAGGCACATGTGGCAGCCATCTCACCAACAACGTGCCGAGAGGCACCCAGCTCTGAAAAACAACTTGCCAAGAGGCAGCCCTATGCCACCATGTCGAGAGGCACTAGTGGCATCTATCTCCGAAGAATGTGCTGAGAGGCATCAAAGTGCTTGGGTGTGTGAAGTACCGGAATGGGTGACATCCCGAGAAGTTCGGCCCAAGATAATTATCCCAAAAAAAAAAAAAAAACCCTAAACCTTTGGGCCCGTCATATGGAGATGTTTAATTATTTTATTTTTCATGCGGCCCTCATTGAGCCTTCTACTTTTGGTGAGGTCTGGACACGGTGTAACGAGAGACAAAGAGGTGCAAGAATATATGAGTGTATCGATCGCTACTTCACTAATAACATTATATTAGTGTAATATCCCATATAGTCATGCTCTTACCCCACTATAGGTCATATCACACGTCGATTCTTATTCTTCTTAACTTGAGAGCTAGTACCCCTAGACCTCCTTTTAGGTTTCAAAATATGTAGACTCGGCATGAAGGCTTCTAGAGCTTCGTGCGTAGTCATTGGCACGGAGATATTTTTGACTCTCCTATGGAGAACCTGAGTTACAAACTAAGGAATCTCAAACTCCACCTTAAATGGTGGAACTGACATGTATAAAGAAATATACACACCCAAGTGGAAGAGTTGAAGAGTGAGCTAGCAAAGGTCAAGAGACAATTGTAAGTTCAATAAAGTGACACTACTTGGGAGAGACGAGTTCGAATGAACAAGCAACTAATAGAGGCCGCGCGACGATAGGAGATATACTATCTCCAAAGATCACGCATCTAATAGTTGTGTGAGGGTGATAGAAACACACATTTCTTTCATGCCTTGATCACACATTGATCTTGATCTGATTATATATCTCTTCTAGAGGTGTATGATCATGACACATCCCGTATGCAAGAGGTAGGAATTATGTACTTTCGTACCCTCTTTTTCTCTCAACCGATTGAAATCACTGAGGATATCCTCTCATTGATTCCATCTTTAGTCACCCACTAGGAGATAGAGGACATCATGACCACACCTAGAGATTCTCGGGTTTTTTTTTTTTTTTGGGATAACTGTCTTGGGCTGAACTATGGTGAGATGGATGCCACATATGCCTCTCGGCATGGTGGTAGGGGTGCCTCTTGACACGTTCTTCGAAGCTGGGGGCGTCTTGGCATGGTGAGATGATGCCACATACGCCTAGGTTTAGGGTTTTTTTTTTTTTTTTTTTTTTGGGATAACTGTCTTGGGCCGAACTTCTTGGGAGGTCACCCATCCCGGTACTTCACATGCCCAAGTACTTTGGTGCCTCTCAGGCACATTCTTCGGAGATAGATGCCACATATGCCTCTGGGCATAGTGGTAAGGGGTGCCTCTCGGCACGTTGTTCGGAGCTGGGGCGTCTTGGCATGATGAGATGGATGCCACATATGCCTCTCGGCATAGTGGCAGGGGTGCCTCTTGGCACGTTCTTCGGAGCTGGGGGCATCTTGGCATGGTGAGATGGTTGCCACATATGCCTCTCGGCATGGTGGCAGGGGTGCCTCTCGGCACGTTCTTCGAAACTCGAAGCATCTTGGCATGGTGTTGGAGGGGTTCGTAACACGTGCCTGGCGGCACGATAATGCAGCGGTGCCTTTCAGCACATGCACAGCAAGCGTCTCGCAACGCATGCACGTACCTTGGGACTTCCCAGGGAGGTCACCCATCCGGTGACTGCTCCCACCCGAGCACGCTTAACTCCGGAGTTCTTATGGGATCCGGTGGCAACTCTCCCACTTAGGGGGGTTTTTAGGGTTTAGGGTTTAGGGTTTAGGTTTTTGGGATAACTGTCTTGGGCCAAACTTCTCAGGAGGTCACCCATCCCGGTACTTCACATGCCCAAGCACTTTGGTGCCTCTCGGCACGTTCTTTGGAGCTGGGGCATCTTGGCATGATGAGATGGATGCCACATATGCCTCTCGGCATGGTGGCACGTTCTTCGGAGCTGGGGGCATCTTGGCATGGTGAGATGGTTGCCACATATGCCTCTCGGCATGGTGGCAGGGGTGCCTCTCAGCACGTTCTTCGAAACTCGAAGCATCTTGGCATGGTGTTGGAGGGGTTCGTAACACGTGCCTGGCGGCACGATAATGCAGCGGTGCCTTTCAGCACATGCACAGCAAGCGT